GAGCCATTGCCTCTGTAATGTCAGAAGTGATCCAAGGCGCAGGATCGTGCCTAACCCTCACGCGGCGCAAATTATTATTATTATTATTTAACACAACATCTATAATCCATGAATATTTTGGCACTTATTATAATAGTAATAAAAAACCGGATGATAATATCCTTTGATTTCGACATTTACTGCTCAGAAAGATGAATTAATTCGGAAAAATAAACCCTATTTAGTAGTAGTAAGAAAATACTGAGTCGTTTATTTCGACTGTTATTCACTGGCCTTTACCGTTCCAAAGTAAAGAATTTTAATTAAATTCCATAAAGCAAATGGACTTAGAAATCGAAGTATTTATAGACGCTTAGAAAGATGACACCCAGGACAAATTAATGTTCAGGAATAATATAATCGGCGTAGATAACATTCGTTTTAATTATTTATTATGTTTTCGGCTTACTCACTTAACTGTTTGACGAGGAACTCGACTAGTTTCAAGCCATGCTAGAGGCTCGTATTCATGAGCAGCATTCCGCAATATCTACCAAACAAATCAACATATAGCATGTCACACGAAAGTTTTAATTTGTTTTAATAATTTAATGGACAACGCAAGGAGACAGAAGATACAGCAAGCTTTCTATTAAACGTTTTCTGACTGATTTTGTATAGATAATTATTAAACTTCTAATGCTGAACATAGGCGTAGGCCTATGTTCAGCATTAGAGGTTTTTGAGTAGTCAAATGACATACAGATTAGCCAGTAGTAAACGAACTATATCCAATTATACCTATATCATAAAGTTTTTACTACAATGCCGTAATTCGTATTACTTTTAAAACTAGGAAAAGAAATATGTCTTCCCCTTGAGACTCCTACAGTAAATTAAAATATCGCAACTCGGATAGACCCTTCTTAAAATTCACCCCTATACTGTTACACTCCCTCGCCAGCTAATTAATTATATTTATTAGTTATAATGAGGGTTTCCGGTGCAATGACACGCTTTGTTATGATGTTAAAAATGCTTTATACTATCAGAAGATTCTAAAAGGTCTTAATATGAAGTCAGAAGAGTTTAAAGTTCAACGTACTGGAGTTGATGCTTAAATATCTTGCCTATAAACTGAGTTAGGTACATCTATAGCAGTAACACTGATTTTACAAACGCCAGATAAATTTTAACTGGGGAATAACTTTGAATATTTGACAATTGTTCCATACTAACTGGGAAATGTCAGTTTAATTCTACAGTTAAGCATTAACGGATGATTGAAAAATTGGCCTTAAGTAATATGTTTTATGTTTTTTTACTGAATGTAGTAGGTAATTATGGATTCTTGTCTAGTGTAGCATAAATAAGTAGGAGTGAAGAGCCCAACGCGGTATGGTTCAATAGTTTTCCGTTAGTTATAGGAGCGAGCAGAATTGCTATGGATAAGTTCAGAGACTCTGTACTATGTATTTAAAATTTAGTATAGTATCCGTCGAATAAAGACTTATCCTAGCAACTAAACCTTTAGCAAAATGGTTGCTGACACAAATTAGACTATTAAACACCAAATTATAATCTCGTAGCAAAGGACCAAATCACTATAACTAATAAGCTACAACGAAGTCCACTATTTATACAATAAATACTCCTAGATCCTAGCATCTATTTAGTATTATGCCATCGCTGGATCATTGAGGAAATCACTGTCAGTAGCAGTTCACAGCACGCAACAAAATATTACACCAGACAACTGCGCAACTTGTGCACCTATCTAAATAGTTCACATCCTTTACGATACGAATACTACTGTGAATACTAGTAACTAATTAGTTACATATCTGTGTAGAAAATATGTTTAAAGTGACATTTTGAATACGTGAGCATGAGCTGCTTGAGCAGTTATTATTATCTATTGGTATAAGCTTAACCCTTTTGTAGCCTGAAGGGCAACGCAAAAGAGGTAGTAGTGAACAAACTTCGCTGTGTCATTTATTTTTTATTTAGAAGATTATTTGCCAATTAGGCAAAAATTCTAAATCTGTCATGGCATTAAGGATTCGACCGAATTATTGAAGCACTCAATTAATAACTAAATATATTTTTTTATTAAAAAAACTGCATTATGGATATTGTAAATTTATTTTTCCATGACGATTTGAAATTGAATGTGTATCGTTGTCTCTTGTCGGAAATGTTAAATTACATTGTCTCAACCGCCACAACAGTATCACATATAATTTTATATTCAATCAATCAGCTTGTTAACAATAAATATCTATAATATTTTGTCAGCGTACACTTATAGTAACTATTTAATGGACCCCTCGATCCAAACAATCGTCATCCGGTAGTCAAGCGCGGTGCTTATAAAATAAATGGGTACCCCTTCGCTCCCAGTTAATCTCGTTGTAAAACTATGTTGTAAATATACTAGTTATATGGCCTTTGAGAAGGGAGAAAAGCATATATATACATATACAGATTGGAATAGAAGGTAGATATATATAACTCTGCAACGTAATCTTAGATAATAGTCTTCTTAAACATCAGAAGAAACTATGAATACTGATGTTCTTAGTTCTCCATCAAGCTAAATATCGTGGTAAATGGTGAAGTCTGTTACAAAGCTTTCTAATCTTCCCAATTTCTTTTCTTTTTTAATTATTTCCTGTCAAAACCTACTCTTTCATATCCATCTTTGCTCAATCTAACCATCTGACCGTGACTGCATGGTTAGTGCGGTGGCTGGGCAATCGGCTGCCGTGCAACGTGTCGCGACTCGCGAGTTCGATTCCCGCACGGAACAACACTTTGTGTGATCCACAAATTGTTGTTTCTGGTCTGGATGGCATTGTGTATGTGAACTTGTATGTTTGTAAACGCACCCACGACACAGGAGAAAATCCTAATGTGGGAGCAACGTTTTTTTTTTTTAAATCTATTCTGTGAATTTCTTCTACCTTTGTATAATTACATTCAGCACAACAACAGTACATTATGTTTTACTGTACACTAAGTAGACAACGATTTTGTTTGCCATTTCAATGGGAATTCAAACGTTCACTGGTCTGAACCTCTTTACAGTGAAAGTTTGCACCAATAAGTCAACAAACCATCTTATAAATAAGCACTTGACACTTGCAACCGTTCGCGTCTCTATCAATTTAACAAATCGACTTAAGTTGAGAAGCTGCTTTCATTGACAATTCAGAAAGAGGTCAACGGCACCGCTGATAAAGCAGTTGTGACGCGCCAATCGACGCATCCTGCCCAATTGCGCGCACGCATGCGAAACGACTCCGCTGCGTGCGTACACACATATAAACTAAACTACGTTTGTCCATAGTGTCCAGATATACGTCCATATAGGTTATGAATACTATGTATGCAAAGTGTAGGAATACTGTGTATAGGAATGACTTGGATATTTAGTTTCAGAGTTGTAGACTGTCTTATGGTTCAGACTTCGGTATAATCATTTTATGGGAATATCATATTTATTTATTTATATATTAAAGTACAAACTTCTACTTGCAAAATAATGAAAGAAGTAGGTAGGTTTTGTTTATATTATAGTGACTACAATATTAACAAAAGTAAGAGAGTCAAATTCAATGCAATAAATTAGAGACATTAGAATGTTTGTGTGAGTATAAAGTATTTCAAGTTCAATTCATTCAACTGCTAGTAAATCAAGTTAACACATTTTGTAACAGTAAACAGTGTCTTATTATCACCCTGTACACTCGACATAACATTTTACAATACATTGCTGTACTTAAAGGTATTCATACAAAAAAATCCTACTATAACGGTTATGGATTCTAAAACACAGTAAACAAGTGTCGCAATTCTTTTTATGAATGAATGCAATTTTTGTAGTTAGTGATCTTTCAACCTTACGATATTTAGTAATAAAATCTATTTTCAAATAAAGTTACATCACCAATGGTGTCTTAAACATTGACCTCTTTATAAGTATTAAAAACTTACATAATGTACAGATTTCTATAAATTTTTCGAGAAAATATTTATTGATAGTGGGTCATAGTTGGTCCTTTGATACGTAAATTTTAATGTAGGCATAAGGACCAAAAGTAAAGATAGTCATCGATCAATTTCAACTTGATATTATAAGCCTACCTTATCTTCATAATATTTTTATTTATGAATCAGTATGATAAGTAAATAATATTGATAAAATATACATTATTCATTCGAAGGACCGTGTTATTCCCCGAAGAGATATTTTGCAAAAACCTATGTTATTTTTTAGGAAAAAATGAAAATATCACAAGACGACATATGAAATTGTGACAACTGGTAACTGCACTATCTTCAAACCTATTAACACAAATTAAGACCTTAATATTCGTACTTGAAACCCATTTAGAAGATTCAAAGTCTCTAAAATTATGTCATTCATAAAGCTCCAGTACATTGATCAACATCCCGTATTACGAAATGTGGAGAGTATCACACAGTTATTGTTACAATTAATCCCTCCTCCCTCAGTTAGTTGACCCCAAAGCCCCATACAGTCACGCGTTAGACAAATTATTGTCCTGTTAATAGAAAGGGAGGATCAAATGGATAGGAATTCTTTTATTTCTCCGCCGGGAAAAGGTCGGTTTGCGTCACTGTGTGGGCTGCAGGTTTATATGATTATAAGCTGGTTCTTTGTTCGTTAACAATACAATCATCCAGAGTTAATAACTTGAATAGTTTACGTAGGTAGGTAACATACGATGATCTAACGATTGTCATTACTTTACTTCTGCTAAAGACAAAAACAAGTGGAAATTGTTTGCACTCTTCTAATGAGATATATTTATTGTGTTAAATTATTATTTTCTACGTTTTTTAATAGAACGATCAATACCGTAAGATTTCATAGAAAAAAAACCTAAGCGTTTCTTAAGAATTTTAACTGAAATTTTTTATCCAACAGGTACTAATATCAGCTTAACAATGCTCCCACGACATTAGGACCATGGATCGTGTCTAGTGTTAAAATGGTGTTGATGGACAAAGTGCTTAGGACTATAAAGACTAAAGCATGGTGCCTTCTGATCGTGTGTGCGGTGGCTATCGTGATGGAAGCAGCTGCTCTCAATGGGGACAACGTCTGCATGGTGAAACAGAAGTAAGTGGAGTTTTCGTACACACAAGAACATTATGTCACTGTCTTGTTGGTCCAGGCTCGTATGTTTACGCCGTAGGCTCATATCCCATATCATATCATCATAATCATAATCCTGGGTTTATCATACACACCATTTTATGAAACGTTTATCATTCTATGTAAAATCCAATAATTTGACAGTTGTGTTAAATGATGCTATAAGGGGTTAGAGTTTATTATACTTTATTCCTAATATTAAATCAATATCTTTGGTCCTAAGAATATTCAACATCAAAAAGCTCAATAATGGATGACACTGAATCTGTGAACTGTACGAGTACTCTCTCAAAATCTACGAGGCTAAAGAAATAAACATGAATATTTTTATGAAGAGGACTATATCTCGACAGAAATCCCCTAAGGGATTCACCTTCATCTACTCAATATTTTACCGAATCTCACGGTGAATCCCTAAAGATTTACCAATTGATAAATCTTATATCAAATATGTGTAGGCGGACCGTATATTGAAACTGAGGCCGCCCACTCAATAACAAATATGTATAGATGTCATCCAAACATGGTCCTTAGAAAATCAATAAAATCACAAGAGTAGGAAAAGAAAATGGGTCACGTATATTAAACATCTTATTTTGTGTAAGATTACCTAGCTTAAATTAATAAGAAATGAAACTAATAATGTATAGTCCTTATCTATCTATGAGACAAACTAAAGAAGAATGTAAAAACATTCACAAATGTTTTCCACAGCCTCAATCAATTACTAAATTATTTGAACCAATTTATATTTCCTTTAAGTATTCATTTATCATTTTCATATAACATACCTATATAATGGTAAACATTTTATAACTACAGTTAAGTTTTACTATATAATTAATAATTATAAAGTTTTATATAACCTATTGGATTGCCAAAGCCGATTCTAAGTATTTCATGGTCCTTTCACCCTGGTCCTAATCTCAGGTTTTTCCAAAGAAGACGTAATACTGAAGGAACATAAATAATATTATCTTAAGCTGAACAATAGACTGACAGACATTCACTGCTTGTACCTAAACCAAGAATTAGTGCAGTAGCGGGTGTTACATATTTCATGATCATGTCGGATAGGGATGGCAATACTTGTTTAATTAAGAACGAATAGGTGTAAAGTTTTTGTTTTTTGTATAAGGAAGCTGTTTCAGAACTCAGAGTTTACGTATCATCACATAATTCTAAGGATAGGCACATAAAGGTGTGTCATAGGATAGGACATCAAATATCTATTCGCAATTCACGCTAGAGTTAATGTTGCTAATATGCTAGATGACTTGGAGACCACATAATCTGAAATCTCTAGCAGCACATAGATATATTATGAATGGAAAATTTTGAAATATGAAAATTTCAAGACCTTGCCTCCTCAACAATAGGGATGATGAAGTTAGGTAATGAAAAAATATTACAGACGTATTTTATTTATTTTGTCGTGTAATAAAACAATACTTAGATAAAATGAATCAAAGTTTAGGAGTGGGGGCTACAATGTCATTTCTACGTATAAAATGTACATAGAAGTAACGTCACGCAACATTTCAAATCAATATATCGTCGAAAGTATTCGTTTCTGTAAGAAAATAAAAAATACGTGTCTAATGATTTAAAATAATCTACCAGACGGACATTAAAATAAAAATTAGGCATCTACCCTATTTATGTTTGTGACTGTATCGAAGTTTGCATAAAATACTAAACTGCTGTACCCAATACTAAAATGTATAAACCTATTCATTTGTTTATATTTTATTCATAAATGCTTTATTATTCTACATAAAAACAAATCCCCAAAAGCCCGGTAACGCATTTGTAACGCCTCTGGTGTTCCAGGTGTCCATGGGCGACGCTGATTGCTTACTATCCGGTGATCTGTCGGCTCGTTCACCGGCTTATCCCATAAAAAATATATAGGACAACAAAAAAAAAGGAAAGTGTGCAATGGGCGGTGTGATTCATATTCACGATGAAACACTATATAACACAACAAGTTCCGAACCTTCTACGCAGCCCAAAATCTCTCTAAAATACAATAACCCAACAATACAACAATAATATATTATGATATCTAAATAACCTTGAACCTTTATACAGTTTCGTATAATGTTCGTGCACCTGACAGCCCTACGGAGGCCGCACTAATCTGGATAGATTTAATTAATTACCACTTTCTACAAAACCCTTTATAGGAAACTTTGGTTAGGTGCTGGAAATGTGTTGTAATTTGTTACTGAAATGTTAAGGAATAATATTCTCTGTATTATATTCAGATACAAAATATCTACCATAACCATGTACAAGGTAAATCCTAATTATGAGGTTACATTAATTGTTGTCTGTTGTTGACTGGCTCGTTGTCGAGTGGTCGCAAGTTCGACTGCCGGGCAAGGGGTCTCGGGTTCGGTTCCCAGGTCGGGCAAGGTATTACTGGGTTTTAAAAAAAGTTCTCAGTAGTAGCACGGAGTCTGGAATGGTGTCCGTTATATAGCAATAGGCTCACACATGAGACTCATAATATAAATAGTGTAAAGTGGTTGTCACATTGTACAGTTGCAATAAGTGCCGTAACTGTGCACCTCTGCCTATCCGTAATGGCGTAATGTTATGTTATATACAAAAATTGAATACTTTAAAAGCATTATTTTCACAAAAGGTCCAAAGCACCCTCAAGCATCAATAAGCATGTATGAAGAGATTGATGAGACATATAGATGTAGATAACGCGAAAGAGGTACACCAGATCGGTGTTATTTGACGTTCCATTGTCTCCATGGAAGACAGGCGTGATGATAATGTGTATATGTTTTCATTTCCCCAGATACAACATCACGAAACGAGTAAAGTACCGTGCCCCGATGTCAGTTCGAACGTACGAGTGGTGCTTCTCCATGCCACCGAGGTGTTCCAGGTGGAACACCGAGATGAGGGACCTGACCAGGCTTGAGGTATGTACTAATTTTACTTACTATTCACGTCCAATAGTTCAGAGTGCCAAGCACGAATAGCTATCGCATTCGTATCGTAACAGTATCGAGCGAGTTAACCGTTCTGATTGGTTGGTTCACTTGAGCCGGCCAATCAGAGCGCCGAACGCGCTCGATACTATGTATTACGTTACGAATGCGAATGGCACTCTGAAGATTTTCAACTTTGTAGTTTAGTAATAAAATCCACACCAGAATGCCCAAAATGACGTGCCTTGTTAAGATAAAGGTACAGTATAGAGCAGGCAATCGACTATTATTTAAATACTGTTACAAGTTAATGAGGAAAATATACAGTTTAGATGTCAACAACTTATTATCTAGGACTGGTCCTAGAACTATCCTTGAGAAAAACTAGATCGATTGTGAAGTGACTGTTTCCACTAGCCTTAATTGTGTTCAACATTTGTATTCACCTTACACTACACTCTGTATCTTCAGACAAATCTAATGAATGTTTAAAAAATATGTTTATGCTCAAACATTGATGAAACTGTTTTGTTGACGTTCATTGTGATCATTGATTACATGATTTACTTCGAGTTTCATAAACCATCCATATTTTCGATTAGGTATAATTTATATCTCAAACTGAAAATGAAGTCGGTTAATTACAATCGTGTTAATTTATACTTACTACTTTTATTATTATCTTTGCCGCCTGAATTAGAACAATTTTACCACAAGATAACCATACTCTGCTTGAATTGTAGCTTAAAATAACGATTATAAAAGCTAGATTTCTCTAAAACCTTGCTTTATACAAAGTTAGTAAGAATATTACTTTACCCCTATTTATCACTCGTTTAAATTATCTTCAGATAAATCTCAATGCTAATGATTGCGTGTATTGTCAAGTTTATAAACGATCATTATATTTACACGATCGTGGATCATGCTATGGTCTATGCAAATGAGATCCCTTTCTTTATTTGCTTCAAGTTCATGTTTTGTTTGTAGATCACCGATTGTGACGATTTCTTCAGCTAATAGATTTATAGAAACAGGTTTAAAAATAATATTACTATTTGATTCATAATCGTTGATTTTCTCTCCACCCCTTTTTTATTATGTAACTTAATTTCTAATTTTGATAATTAAGAAACTGGATACTACATAATAATTCATAAGTATGGCACTAGTGCCTAAATCCAGCTCAATTCTATCGTAAACTGAATACAATTCTACAGTGCATTCCGATCAATAAAATGCCAAAAAACCAACCCACCGAACAATAAAAATAACCAGAAATTATTTAACTAATCCTTGGTAATGTTACAGACCGAAGAAAGAATAGCAGAGGTGGCTGTGTGCTGTCCAGGGTATAAGATGAGGGATGTGTCCTGTGTCCCAATCTGTCCTAACGGGAAGACAGGACCTGGGTGCTCCGAAGGTAACCCTGAAATTGGTAAAAAGTCTGATTGCAGAAGTAAAATTCAATACGAAAATAAAAATTGTAAAGTTATATGAGTAATACATCCAGGATCTTCATAACTCTGAATATAAAATGCTCATCTCTTTAGCCATAGAACAACATAAGCGTCTAACAGATGTTTTCTTCCTTGTATCCACAGCTACTTTATTACATAGAATTAATATAATCTCTAATATCCAAACAAAACAATTTCAGATTGTCCAGACAACAAATGGGGCCCGAACTGTATACATGAATGTAACCGATGTAAGAAAGGTTTCTGCTCACCCATCACAGGCGAGTGCGAGTGCTTGGACGGATGGCAAGGTGAGAGGTGGGTTTCCACTTTATTACATTTAGATTTAAAGCACATTATAATATACCCGAAACTGTTAAAACATATTAAGTGTTCATTTTACCTCATTTTTTGATCAGCAAAGATATGCAAGAGAATTGTAAATGGTAAAACCATCTACTGACTATTAAATTAGTTTATATTTCCTTAAAGTCACATTCTTCAAATTTGATAATAAATGATAATGTTTTATTTTACAGTTGTGATGTGAGCATGCCACCAACGACAGCGACGCCGTCGTTTGAAGAAATACTAACTGCACTGACAACTAAAATAATACCTACAACAACTAGAATAACCTCCACTGTAACAACTCTTAGAACCACGGTAACAACGCCTTCAACTACCACGACAACACCTAGAACTACTGTAACAACGCCTAGCACTACTTTAACAACTCCTACGACAATTGTAACAACTCCTACGACAATTGTAACAACTCCTACAACAGTTGTAACCACTCCTACGACTGTTGCAACAACTCCTACAACAGTTGCAATAACTCCTACGAAAGTTGCAACTACTCATGCAATAGTTGCTACAACTTCTTCTACTCCTGTCAGAACTCCGACAACAACAGCAGCCCCCACTACTAAAGCGACATTACCTACTTCAGCATCAACTAAAAATGTGTTCACTCCAACGATAGTTACTTTGGACACAAAAGAAAACCAGAATAATGAAATGACAACTACATTTCCCAAAGAAATACCAAAAACAGTTACAGATTATGTTAACACAAGTATTATTAATACAAGTACTACAAAAGTTACTAAACCTACTACTGAAGCTGTTACAGAGAAAGTTAAGATTCATCCGATTAATGTTAAAACTGACAAGTTGGAGACGACCACAGAACCAATTATTGCAATAAAGACTGCACCAACTGCACACGCAAAACCAAAACCCATCGAAGTCCTTACAACAACTGAAATGCCAACAACTGTATCATTAACAACAGTGGAAACAACGATAAAGATGGAAACCTCAAAAAAGGAAACCACAGTAAAATTTCTTCCAACAACGATCAAATTCAAACCAAAAGAAATATGGATAAGACCAGCTCAAAAAGGTGAATCTCCTATTGTAGAAACAAAAATTAAAACTACTCATGAATTTCCAAGGTACAGAAGTGCTAATAACAATAATAAAGAATTAACACCAACTGTAACTACACCAAAGACGATCATCGTATCTATTATACCTACGTCGGTGTCTTACACAACTTTTAAAAAGATCGCTTTAACTTCGTCATTTGTATCAGCAAAGAACAGCTCAACCGTACAGTCCTATAATAAAACAGAGATTGAGTCTACCAAGCCAATGTTAACAGAAACTACAACACCGCCGATTAAACTGAGCCCTTTGTCAAGAAAAGATTTGTTGGCAACATCGTATTTTATAAACAACACTCTAGTGTCCAGCACTTCTGTAACTCCAAAATCAACAACTTCTTCAACTAAATCAACTATTATAGTAACGAAATCTCTGGAAACTAAGTCTATACCTCGTATTAATAGAACTAACAGCATGATGACTGACATTAACAAGAATGTTTCTACTTTCATAACAACTGCTTCTTTCAATGCAACAAGAACTTCATTGGAAATTAATGATTTACTCACGACTTCTACTACTACCACTACTACTAGTACATCTCCTAAAACTACAAGTGTGACACAATCCTCAACGGAGCATACAACAAAACACTTGATAAAATATGTTTTACCTAAAAAAGTTACTGCAACAGCAGAAACAAAAAAGATTAAACCAACTACTAATGCACCAAAAATTGATGATAAAGAATTTAAAAAGGCTAACGTTACTAAAAGTTTTACTAAAGTTACAACTGAAGGACCAGCGGATGATGAAGAATTTCATATTTTGACAGAACCTGAGCATATAACAGCTGTTATGGGGGACAAAGGATCAGAGAGGTCCTCTGTAGACCTGATATCAGTGATCAGTATAGCCGGAGGAGTGATGATGGCCGTCATCACGGTAGCCGTGGTGATTGTGATGATTGAGAGGTGCAAGAAGCCGAGATACGAGGATGTGAGGAAGATTAATGATATAAGAATGCAAGTGATGATTGATAACAATGACGTGCCGCCGCCATACGTGAGGAGCATCTTCCATACTCCGTTACCAGGTAATTGTAATCTTATTGTTTGTTATAGGTATCTAATACAACTTTTTAACTTTTTAATATCCAAACTTCTCAAGAGAGAAACTGACTCTGCCTTAACAAATTTTTCCTCTAACAAAATTTAACCCAACATACTAGTTTAATACATACAAAACAGAATACAGATTTATTGGTTCTTATATAAAGAGATCACTATAAACGAATATTATTAAAAACAATTTTATAAAAGTATAAATACACACATACGTTATTCATATCGTTTTTTTTTTATTTTAGCGTAAATTTCTGTGACAGGTTATCTAAACCGCATTTTCGTCACAATGTACATCGGCCCATTAGCTCAGTTGGTTAGAGCGTCGTGCTAATAACGCGAAGGTCGCGGGTTCGATCCCCTCATGGGCCACAGATTCATTTTGGCTACACAAGACTTAAAACATCTTTTTGATATTTTTTGTAGATCCTCCATCTTCGGAAAAGTGTCATTATCAACCAATTTCAACGTTGGACCGGAATTTAAAACAATTTATGAGACCGGTTGTAGTACAAACGATTTCTCCTATAATGCTGGAAAACTTTAGAGGTAATAAATGAAATATTAAAGTATTATTTTAAGAATACAAATAATTACTGAATTATTTATTCATTGACAATTTCCTACAGGTATCCTAGAATGCCATTACGACCATTTGCCAAGAAGGAGCCACGAGTTCAACACAATCCAAACTCGATCTTCAATAGCGCCATCTATGATCGACTGCAGCGAACTACGACAACTTCGAGCTAGCGTAACTGAATCTACGATTGAAGCGTTGAAATGTGAAGCAAAACTGGATGTTATAGATAGCACAACTTCAGAACCTCTTTATGCTGAAATTCCATGTTGGAGGCCACCTTCTGAACATGCTATTGAAATCATGAACTTAAACGGCGAAGCCGTAACAGAATTATGACCGCAATGCGCAGGTCAAAGTGTTAGCTCAGCTCGTAGTTCTGAAATGTTATACTAGATGGCGTTGTGTGAAAGTTTTTATTAAAACTACCAAAGATTTTTGTGTGAAGTAAAATTATTATAATAATTATTATTGTATTAGGAAAATAATTAAACTAAATTAAAATTCACATGTTATTTATTTCTTAGTTTGCCATATATTCGTTCCCTTCAATAAAAGTAATTTTATTGTTTTCTCTGGTGTGACGTCAAACTGGTATTTCGTGGAAATCGCATAGCATAGCAGAACCTAAGATAAACTTTATCGGGGTTAAAGTGCGTGGGTATTACTGTTATCAATTGACATCCTATGTACCGGGTCGCATGGATTTCGCAAAATTAAATGTGTCAATATTATTCACTTGATAATGTTTCTATAAAATTGTTAATTAACGAAAAATTATCTGTTGATTTAATCGCACAGTCACAGTCGTAAAATGGTAGGTATTATGAGACTTGAGTAGGTATTGGATTTAATATCGTAAGTATCTATTATTTTTGTACTAAGAGTCTTTGAAGTACATCATCGAATCACTTCTCCCGCCTAGGTGAGGCGAGAGGGAGTGTCAGACTCTTACTGACTAAAACCCCCAAGAAAAAATAGATGAGATAAATGTATAAATGACACTGATTGCCATTTCTGTAAATCCAAACAATGAGATAAGACTGCCCTTGACCATTAGCATTATTCATATAAATACAAACACATGTAGATTCTGATATAGGTATTATAATTAGGTATCATTTAAGCAGTAAAAGTATGACTTAGGCTTTCTTTTGAACCTAATTGCCTATTTCATATTGTCTGCTTATGTTAATTTTGACAAATTTTGTATGAAACGAGATCGTTTGATCAGTATTTGATTATGAAGGTACGTAAGTAAGTTTGTATTTTAAATAATAAAGTGGGCCGTATTTTAAGTGTGGGAGAGTCATGCTTCGGTACGAATGGGCCGGCTCGACCGGAGTGATACCACGGCCTCACAGAAAACCGACGTGACAAGCGTTGCGTTTCGTCGTGTGAGTGAGGTTACCGGAGGCCCAATTACCCTCCCCTTCCCCAATCTCCCCAATTCCTGAATCCCCAACGATCCTCAAACTCCTAAAGGCAGGTAACGCACTTGTAACGCCTCTGGTGTTCCAGGTGTCCATGGGCGACGCCGATTGCTTACCATCAGGTGATCCGTCTGCTCGTTTACCGGCTTATGCCATTAAAAAGTTTTAATATTACAGTTCCAATATTACCTTTATTCAGGAATAAAGGTAATATTGGAATACATAATAGGCTGTTTTCCTTAAGACAAAAGTCATAAGTAGTTAGTAGATACATACATATAAAACAATATTAAGTAGGTACCAAAGTGTATTATGATTTTTTAAACCAATGCTAAGCAAACATTTCAATGGAAGCTCATTATACCAATTCTATGAATCAGACTTAACAAAAAATATAAATACCACAGTAAATCGGTATCTACCTACACTATTTTGTGGAACATTATCCTCAATGAATGTTCAAACTACCTGTAGTAGTATAATAAATACTGATTTCCAATATATTACTATTATTCAATATTGATTAGAACTAGGGTAAGCAGAAAAGAGGCTCGGGGTCATCATCAACAGCCTATAAATGCCCACTGCTGAGCAAAGCCTCTTCTCACACGGAGAAGGTTTGAGCATTAATCACCACGCTTGCTCAATGCGGGTTGGCGATTACAAACTTATAATTAGAAATTATAAGTCCAGGTTTCCTCACGATGTTTTCCTTCACCGTTTGTCAGTGGTGTCTAGATAACCTTAGAAAGTACATATAACTCTGAAAAAGTCACATTGGTACTTGCCGTTGGAAGGTTTCGAACCCGCACCCTCATGCATGAGAAGCGGGTGTCTTAAAACCTCCGGGCCACCACGACCATGGTTTGGGCTCGAGGCTCGGGTTACACAGATGGTATTCAGTAAGTTCAGTAGAAAAAATTTATTTAATTTGAAGTAAGTGCTACTCAACCAAAGAATTTCTCGAACAAAGATTGCAAGAACATTGTTGTGGAATAGTGCATACTAAATAAAATAAGTGTAATATTTGTACACCAATTCGGTAGAATGTATGAGACATTAATTAGGTGAGATAAAACACCTATTGTTACGACTAACTACATTCTGACAAATAAATATAATTAACTTTGTTAAGTTCAGGTTGGTGAAGGGACGTTATCCGCAGAGTGGCTAGCAATGGCTCGATGCGAAGAACTGAAGATCGAGCTCTAAGATATTCTATTAATATAACTTATGTCCTACTGAGGACGAAGCCTTATTCTGTGTTTGTATACTTACCTATAGATACATGATTATGTAGGAATTAAAGTCGATACGTACCTAAATTAAATAATAACATTGTGAATCAAATTTGTGATACACTTTTCCTCATAACTATACAGCAGTTGGTAAAACCTATTACGAACTTCTAAGATAACTAAGATAATAATTAACAGACCACTTATTTCATTTCTATATTCATCAAAATATTGCAAAACACACACGCATGCATTATCTCATCGTTTCCGACAAATGACGATATCTACTGATTTAGGGGTCAGTGTATGAAAACCAGGAAAACCTAATGAAGAAAGATATTTTTTTTAAATAATCGGGGATCGAAAGGGCGGCTATTTGACTGTCAATGGCAAATATTAATTGAATTTAGAAAGAAAGAAAGAAAAACCATTTATTCTTGCGCAAAACACACATAACATAACCAAAAATAAAATAAAATAAAATAAAAGCTAAAAATATAAAATGAAGTGAAGTCTTGTCCACGGTCCACAGACTTATTCTTTACTGAAATTATAGAATACTTAATATCTAACATTATCTGTGGACCATAGACAAGGAACACCCTACTTACTTCATGCATGCATTTCATAAAATTGGATGGAGTTCATGGAGTACCTATATTATTATATAAAAGTTTAATTATATAAAACAATACGCATCAATAATAGGTACTTGATTAGGGTAATTATAATAAATTAGGTAATTTATGCAAATCATTTTAAAACATGCAAATAAAATTCATGTCTATAACATAAAATTATCATTAGACTTTCGTTCCTGTATTAATAATTTAATAATTATAATTTACTCCCCGAAGAAGTAACCAGAGGTGCACAATTGGACATACAAACTACTTTTCACGACTGGTTATGTGTCACATCTCATGTTACTTATACCCATTTAAACTCCAGACTCCGTATTTACGACTAAAAATTCGAAATACCGAAAAAGCTCAATACAATGCTTTGCATGACTCAGGAACCAATCGGACCCGAGGCACAGATCGAATCCCCATGCTCGTCTATGCTGCATTGAGTCCACTACGGAATACGCAGCTCAAGTCAAGATAACCGTTGATTCAAAATATGCGGAACCTGCTATTAAATTAAACAACAGACTTGCTTACCCTAGCTAGATGTGCTAATATGATCGTCAGTGTGCTACGAGGTCCAGTGGCACAAACAACTAAGATACGGTAAGTCAAGTTATGTCATACTTATTTAAGTAAACCTCTTATAGATAGTGTGTAATCGCTGGTTTAAAGATTTCAAGTTCGCGTAGCAACTATGTGCTTTGTTTTTTTATTCGATTGTGGTTAGTGAACTCGTTTTGATTTATTAATGTGTAAGGTTTTTCAAATCATATTTTTTTATGTCAGCCTAGCTATTGATAACTTTGGTTTTAGCAAATTTTTGTTAATTACTAAAATTATTTATTTTAAACAAAAGCATTTCATGTATTTACCTTAGATACATTTAGATATTTTCTTGATTAATAAATATAAGGAACATACATATTCCACCTTTCTTGAATACTCCTGCTACTACCAGATTTTCGAAACTCAGAGTCTCAACTAGAATTTCGACGGATCCGAAAAATTAAGTCCGAAACTATTTGCTAGGCTGTTGCGTTTCATACGGAGCCGCAGAAGACTTTAACGGGTTACCGGGCTCCGGCTCGAAGTGCAGGAGTAGGAAAGGGGTGGTTTTTAGTCAGTAAGAGTCTGACACGTCCTCTCGCCTCATCCGGGCGGAAGAAGATATTGGATAATTTTCCCCCTCAGACAAAAAAAAGGCTATCGCATTAGCAACCACAAAATCGACGCCGCAATACCTATTTTATTTAAAAATAAATTGTTGATTATAAGTTTGTAAATATTAAATAACTGACATTTTATTACTTGAACTTTAACATTAGTTCTGTTATCTCAAAAATATTTATCCAGTGTTATTATAAAAGAAAAGTTTAATAGGTACTGAAGATTAATTCCTAGAATGTATTACAATTAGGTAAAATATTCAAATTATGTAATAGATTGTTCTCATCCTAATAAAACGTTTACATGACTTGTGAAAACAGATAAGTACACATAAGTATAAAGACTGCAAATATCACCTTATTGTTAAGTAATCAAATAAAGAATTCGCTTGCAAAGCATCCGATTATAATTTTCTTTCAGTTCTAAATAAGTTAGAAATCACAAAGATATTTTTTTACAGTCACTACGGTAAAATACCTAATTACAGTGACTATAACTCTATCGATATTTTATTTCCAGATCAATATGCGTTTAATATTCATAGCGCTGCTGCTAGCATGCGCGTACGCAACCCCTCAGTACACGAAGACTGCGGGCGTTAAGGGAGGGTACGGTGGACATGGTTACCATCATGAGGGAATGAATCTTGTCAAGTAAGTATTAGCAGAATCGAATCAGTTTATTGATATCCGTGCCAAATAATATCAGGCTTACTACTGAAAGAAGTATCTGCTTTGATGATATCGATATATTTTTCACTAGCTTTTACCCGCGGCTTCGCTCGCGTCACAAAAGGATAAAAAGCCAATGTGACATACACCAATACACACAGCGCCATCTATACCAATACTTTTGTTTTCCCTCGGGAATATCAAATTTTTCAGTGATAAAAAGTACCCTATTATTTAATCCGGACTTGTAACTTTACGTCTGCAAAATTTCAAAGCAATCGGTTTAGTAGTTACGGCGTTAAAGAGGAACAAACAAACAAACAAACTCACTTTCCGATTTATAATATTAGTAAGGATAGTCGTTTTCTTCATTACTGAAGGTCGTGTCTAATCTGGTGCACGCGTCACTTGATGCACAACCCTCCTCCAAACGGCCCTATCCTCTGCGGTCCTTATGGCTTGTGGAACTGTCAAGCCCGTTAGGTTTTTTACAGCATCCAACCACCGGGTAGGTGAGCGACCACGAGGTCTTTTCCCGTTAACCCGACCAACAACCACAAGCTTCTTCAGATTGTTGGAGTCTCTAGGTACGCGCAATGTGTCGTATCGGTATCGACATGACATACCTAAATTATGTTGATGATGAAATATGCAAATCATAATTTACCCCAGTCTGTCTGCTTAAAAACCTGTGTGACCTCGTTATATACTATGTATATTGTATAAATTAGGGTGTCTGATGGAAAAATGTACATAATATGGACATAAAACAATTGTTATGTAATTTTTGTTAACAGTAATTTTTACAACAATGGGAGTCATCATCAAGGCTATGGAGGATACGGGCAGAATTTGACAGGAACCGGAACTGTCAACTACGAGATAGGAGTTTGCTACATCGAAGTGCCGTAAGTGTTATTATACTTCAATCAGTTACATTTTTACAAGTAGGTATTAATAGATTTAAAAATATAAGCATTTAAAAAAATTGTCTATAAAATAAAAAATAGATTTCTGTTCGTTAGTTTCACTAAAACTCCAGAACGGTTGAACCGATTTGGCTAATATTCGTCTTGAAAGGTTCGTGAAAGTCCAGGGATTTTTTTTTTTTTTTTAGAAGGAGTAGTTTTCCCCGTCAACTAGTAATAATACTTTATATTAATTAACGATTTATAAAAATGTATATTTAATCGTATTGAATTGATAGATATTACTTAATCGCATATTAAGAAAAGATTTAAATAAAAAAAAAATATTATTATCTTTGTTCAACCTCAGATACTGCTACAACATAACATAACATAACATCACGCCTTGTTATCCATAATGCAACTTTACAATGTAACACCCACTTTTCACTATTTATGTTACGATTCCCATGTAATCGGGGGTGAGCCTATTGCCATGTACCGGGCACATTTCCAGACTGAGATGTTTAAAAACCAAGTAATTCTTTGCCCGACCCGGGAATCGAACCCGAGACCTCTTGCCCAGCAGTCGCACTTGCGACTATTCGGCCAACGAGGCAGTCTCCTACTGCTGCTACACTTTACTTATTTTTGCTTTCAGAACAGCCACTCTAGTCAAGGACCCTACTCATGTTCCTGCTGGTAATGGGGTATGTAAAATATCATTGAAACCTTAGTTCTCTTTCTAATTCTTCTTTTACTTCCCACGTCATCATCATCTATTATCTTAAGATTAAAAAAAAACAATCAAATCTCACATAATATTATAACCTACAAATGTACAATCAAAAACCTACTCACAAATCCCATTCAATAAAGTCGTATTTCCCTTACAGTCGCGCCCAGACTTGAGTCGCATCAGGAGTTGCTGTAGTGGTTACATCAGGAACATTCACAACTACCGCATCTGTGACCCAGTGTGTAACCAAGAATGTGTGAACGGACTCTGCAGTGCACCAAACACCTGTACTTGCTTCCCAGACCATGTGAAGAACTTGGCTGGTTTCTGTATAGCCACCTGTCCCATAGGATGTCAGAATGGACAGTGTTCTGGTGGTGAATGCATCTGCAAAGATGGCTACCGACTGGATTCGGAAAGCAAATTCTGTGTTCCGTACTGCAGGGAGCAATGCGGTGGTCCTGGTAGAGGTACGCGTGATTTTTTGTCCTTTTTGTGTTTAATTATTATGTTTTCCGCTTACTAACGAATGCTGAATGCTGCTGATTAATATGAGCCTCTAGCACGGCTTGAAATTAATCGAGTTCCTCAAACAGTTCTCACGAAAGTTTATGTGTTTGTTTATGTAGATAAATCCTAACTGTAGGTTATTTATACATAGATTTGTTCTATTTGATAAAGTTACTGAACTGTACAGTCCTACACTGCTGTTTCTTTTAAAAAAAGTTAAGGTAAGTTCAATAAAATGCAATACATCTCAGCTATATTCATAGACTTTTTTACTGTTAGTATCTATGTATAATAGTTTTGTGCTAGAGGACACTTTATAGTTACCAATAATTTATTCTAGTTTTGATTATGCGCACAAAGAGGAAGGAAAATCAATACAAACTAAGTTTTACGTCACCGTCATAAAAAACTGTCAACGAAATACACCTCCCACCAAACGTCACATAGGTATAACCTCTTTATTATTCTTCCAGGCAACTGCACAGCTCCAAACACATGTGAATGCCAGCCTGGCTACAGGTCTACTCCCGAAGGATCCTGCAAGCCTTCCTGTGATCGATGCAAGGATGGCCAGTGTGTAGGACCTAATGACTGCCGCTGTTCTTCTGGTTACACCAAGGACCAGTATGGTGACTGCATCCCACAATGCTCTAGGTAAAAAATATCTTCAGTATACATATCAAGAATGTATTACTTTGTTTTGATCAAAACACACAAATTACAAGATTAGCATTTTAATTACATGATTAAATCTATCCTAGATGTTAACACAATAAAATGAGTATGTCGTGTAGGTACTGTTTATTCTATGGTAAGTACCTATACTAATAACATTATTAATTATTTTTCAGTCCGTGCTCACCACCAAAGCGCTGTATAGCTCCCAATGTATGCGGGGACTCTTCAAGCCCCCCGGCTTACAATAACACAGGCTCTGGCTCCCCTTACGGCAGACCACCAACTTACAATCCCAACCAAACCCCGAACAACCCCTACGGTCAACAACCCCAGAACCCTAACTATCCCGGTCATTATCAGCCTAATAACCCAAGTAACCCATCAAATACTCCCGGTCAACAACAACACACATACCCTAGTAGTCCACGTCCCCCCGGAAGCCAACAAAACAATCAGCCTGGTAATCCTTCTTACTACCCTGGTAGTCAGCCATCTAACTACCCTGGCAGTCAGCCATCTAATTACCCTGGTAGCCAGCCGTCTAACTATCCTGGTAGCCAGCCGTCTAACTATCCTGGTAGCCAGCCGTCTAACTATCCTGGTAGCCAGCCGTCTAACTATCCTGGTAGCCAGCCATCTAACTACCCTGGTAGCCAGCCATCTAACTATCCGAGTAACCAACCATCTAGCTACCCTGGCTATCGACCACCACCGACTTATCCGGGAGGTCCTCAATACCCAGGTCACTCACAAAACAATTACCCCGGAGGACCATACCCTGGTAACCAAGTATCCAATAACACCAGTGCCGGAAGCATCCAACCAGGAGTTCTACCGAACACTCAACAACCTTCTCCTTACGGTCAAAGACCTGTCAATCCATCAGGTCAACCTATTTACACGCATATTCCTAATAACCCTCAGCCTCTGTACCCTGACAGTCAGCATTTAGGTCCAGACCACCGCCCTAACCCCGCTTACCCTTCGCCCAATTCGACTCAAGGAGTGCCTAGTGGACCAAGTTATCCCAACAACCAATATGTCCCTATAAATCAGTACTATCCAGACCAGAGACCCAATACGAATCTGCAACCTTATCAAAGGCCAAATAATGCTGAGCCTTATTACCCTAACAGTCAGTATTACCCCAACTACAACCAGCAGTCGTACAACCAAGAGTCAGTGTACCAGCAGAACATCTACCAGGAGAACCAGATGTCAGCCGTCGAGCTCTTGTGTTCCATACCATGTGTTAATGGAACCTGTGTCGGACGAGATGTGTGTTCTTGCAACACTGGATACGTTCCTATTGCTGGAGACACGTCTAGGTAAATTAAAGACATCTACTGATACTAGAAAAGAACCCCTTTCTTTAAAAGGAAGTAGTTTTTAGCGTGTGTTTGTAACCACCTAGCCTAGCCACTAACAAACATATAGGTATTATATGATTTACCCTCGCTTGTGATTGAACGGACACTCATTTTGTCAGTTATAATGTGTCCTATGTGAATCACACCTTACACTATGTAAACTCCATCACTATCAACCGAAAGACGTCCACTGCTGATCAAAGAACTGCATAGCAGGAGAGAGAGGTTCACTATACTATAATCTCAAGGTTTAGCAACTGGCTTGAGTAAACACACTGATCATAGTAATTAAGTACCGCAGTGCTTAAAAGAATATCCTACTAATTTTTGGACTTAAGGACTTAACTAGACTTAAGTAGGCTTATTATAATAATTTCCAATAACTTGTTATTTTCCAGGTGCGAGCCATACTGTTCTGGCTGTACAAATGGAGTATGTGTATCTCCGTATATGTGCCAATGTCACCCTGGATTTTACAAAGACTTCAGCGTAAAGGGGAGGACAAAATGTGTGCGACGCATCAGACGGTCCGTCGATGAAACGTCAGCACCTTTAAACATCGCTGAGCTGCTCGTGTTTGAGATACCTGATGATTATGACATTTAATAAATGATTTATTTTATTGAGAAAAATGTTTTCTTATATTTTTTCACTCTGAACTGGAGACACGGTTGTGATCTTCAAGTTACTCAGGTATAATTATTGATTTGACCTTCGAGGATTCATATTCATTCTTGCGAAAAATTAAGTATAAGGGAATTTTATATTTTCGAATTTCTCAGTTAAGTGTAGTACATAATCTGGAACTGCAGTCCTTGTCGAATCTTGACAAAGAGATAGGTACATCGATTGGCTGGAATTAGGTACACATGGGATACTTCCTATCCAAAAAACACGGGCGAAGCTGCTGGCAGAAGTTATTGATCTCATACGTTAAAAATTATACAATTATTAAGTTTTTATAAAAATATAGTTTATTTCTTCGTCGTTATAAAATATCAAAACACGTTAATACATAAGATAATACATAATTTGATGGTAGGTAAATATTTTTGTTGTATCTAAAAAGAATCTGATATTGTGTCCCTCTTTATGTTCACTTTTGGACAAAGATATAGTAACAACAAAGTCAATATATACTGAAACAACATTCTAGATGGTGTAGGTACATGCCCACAATAATGCACATTTAAATCTCAACCAAAATGCTATTGCAATAGATATGATATTTCACTGGAGAATTGTTTTTATTTTTTCAATTTACACTCAACATAATTATTATAATTGAAACATTGCATTATTAAACATTGCATAATTATTATAATACATTTTTACTAACACTAGAAAAAACAAACTGTCAATCAATACAGTAATATCTACAAAAAATTACCTTCCAACAACACCGACAGATTTTAATCTTTATGCTATTAGACTTTCAGTCCAATTTTGTGTCATGTAGCATGAAAAAGTAGATTTACAACACAGATACTGAAACATGTTAAACATGAATGGCAGGCGAAGGAACAATCACAGCAATAAAGGCAATGTCCAAAGCAATCGTAGCAACAGTTTTCCTTTGTTTTTATTGGCGAACCAGTTGTCATCTGCTGCGTCTGCGCACATTCTAATACCGAAGGCTCCAATGTATCACACAACTTTGTACATTGCTCAGTTATTATTTCACATTTTTCATTATTCATTTTATAAAACTGTTTTTATTTATCACTCGATTTAACACTTCCTTGTACTATATGATAAAAACAAAGAGTATAAGAGTAGGTACGTCGAGTTATTGATGTTGATTGGTCGAGCTTACGATACGGTGCGTCACGCGTCGCACGCGCCGCTTGCCATACTGACAGGCACAAAGCATTTAATTCTGACAGACATTTGTTGAATACTTTTTCAAGTAAAATGTTCGTGAAATACTCCTAATTGTTTAAAAATTTCGTAGGTACTGTGTTAAAAATAACAGTTAGTTGGTTTTAGGAGAAACATATTTGAATTATAATTATACATTTGGTACATGGGTACTTTATAATATGTGTTAATATTCGGTGGTCCATGTCTGGTGGCGAATAAATTATTTTTCTTTCTTTCTTTCTTTCTCTTCTTTCTTTCTGATAAAACTGCAGAACTGCATTATTGGAACAGAATTTATTAGATAGACACCGAATTCATAAATGCGATTAAAATGTTTGTCTGTCTGTATGTATGTTCAAGGATCACGCAAAAACTACCTTTACGATTACGATGATACTTGACATTCGATCCTAAAAACAAATTTAATTGTGCGGCTCCATCCTTAGACACAATTACTATACCAAACCGCTGTAACTGTAGGACCTATAGTTTAAATTAGCTTGAACCGCTTTTTTTTTTTTTTTTTTTTTTTTTTTTATGGGGGGAAATCCTCATGGACTGCCTCCGCCTGGGGAAAGGCGGAGGGGTGTGCCGGACTCTTACCGGCTAAAACCACCCCAGTGTCTCCTCACACGTGCGTGCGGGGCCACGGGAGTCCAAATTCATCCGCAGCCCCGCATTACAGTGCCGGCCCGTATGTCAGGGCCCCGTCACCTGCACGGAGCAGTGCCCCACGTACATCGCCTCAAAGGCGCACGCCGACACCCGCGCGCGCCTTCGACTCGGGTCTTTGAAGTCGGGGGCGAGGACTTCCCCAAGTCCTTCGCCCCTGGACCCATTTATGGGGGCCGGAAGAGGGCGTTGTCGGCCCTTCTCCTACGCCCGGTGCGCCTTCTGCGGTTGGGAAAGGAAGTCAGTAAGATCTCCCTCTCCCGTTCCGCAGTTTCCTTCTGCGAAATCACATCCTCGCAGAAGGACACCACCGCGTCCCACGACTCTGCGCTGTCCACCATCTTCCGCACTACGGCCGGAGCTTGAACCGCTATCCTTACTTTCCTTACTTATATTATAAATCGGAAAGTGAGCTTGTTTGTTTGTTCCGCCTTCACGCCGTAACTACTAGACCGATTGCTTTGAAATTTTGCAGACGTAAAGTTAGAAGTCTGGATTAAATAATAGGGTACTTTTTATCCCGGAAAAATTGATATTTCCTAGGAAAAACAAAAATATTGGTATAGATGGCGCTGTATGTACTGGTATAGATGGCGTTGTATGTCATTTAAAACCAGTCAACGAATGACCTACTTATTGGAAAAATCTAAATAGCGCGATATAACCGAATTCCACGCGAGCGGAAAGCTATTTGTTTGTTTGCCTGTCTTAAACGGCAGAACGGAGGTACTAATTAACGTGATTTTTTAACTCAAGGTAGTTGAACGGATGGATAGGCGAGCGAAGCCGCAGGTAAAACCTAGTTATACATAAATGCGAAAATTTGTGCGTTTCTGTTTCTGTGTACATACACAAACATTTGTTATTGATCCAAATCAAAACAGCTGAAGAGACCGGCGTGAAATTTGGAACAAAGGTAGATTATTATCTGAAGTGGACGTGAAGCAACGCTTGCGTTGTGTTTCGTCGTGTGAGTGAAGTTACCGGAGGCCCAATTACCCTCCCCTTCCCCAATCTCCCCAATACCTGAATCCCCAACGATCCTTAAACTCCTAATCTCCAGAAAGCCGGTAACGTACTTGTAATGCCTTTGGTATTCCAGGTGTCCATGGGCGACACCGATTGCTTACCATCAGGTGATCCGTCTGCTCGTTTACCGGCTTATGCCATAAAAAAGTAATACATAGGCTATATCTATCTATACATACTTTTTACCTTTTTACCGCCGGGAACGCGGACGAAATCGCTGGCAGAAGCTATAGTACCTATAATAAATAAATAAAACATAATATAACAATTGGTTCCGTCATTCTCGAGTTAGGTACCTATCTATTAGCAGTTAATGATGTAACCTGTGGTTTTTTAGTATGTAATTATGTAGATACATACTTACCTAAGTAATCGGGTAATATACTTTCTGTATTCTGTGGTACATTTGAGCAAGTGTCTACCTACAGTAGTGTGTTCTTACTTCTTAGCAATGATAAATTTACCTTCGTAAGTACATAACATACCATCCTCATGAGGTCCTTAGACTTTTATTCGGAGCTATACGTTGGATTTTTTTGCGGGGTGGTGTGGAATCATCCAGTGACTTCTTCCGTCTCGGATGAGAGAGTGGCAGAGTCTTACTGACTAAAAACCACTCTGTATCTACTCCCGCTTCGAGCCGGGGTCCCAGTAACACGTTAAGGTTGTTCACAGCTAGCTATACCTTAGGATGGGGTACGTTCATAGTATACAATTTAAGACCTACTATTTACTACATTGAACAATGCAATGATATATTTTATGAGGCACATGTAGGTGAGAGAACCTATTTCCATACCTTCACCATATCGGTTATTTCAAACTAACAAAACCTCAATAAGAAGAACTTCGTATGAGACCCAAGATTCAAACCGCAAGACTCATTGCAGCAGTATTAAAATAGAGGTATAACCTATCTATAGGTAGTGCTAGTGACTAATGAATAAATGTCTCCATTTCATTAAGTAAGTATTTATTTGTTTATACTTTAATATCTGAAATCTGTACGTCTTCTAACCGCGATGGGGTACCGGTTTGCACAGGATCACCTAAAAATAAATGACAACATTAGTAGTAACTGCTGACACCACTTTAAAATCATAACAAGCAATACCTAAAGAACATAATCGTTGAGAAGCCAATTTTTAGATCAAATTTTTATTAAGATTATGGCCCTAAATATCAGCTATAAACCGAAACCTTTCATTCGATTTGTGAAAGCAATTTAAATCAAGTAATCATTTTAATTGCAAGGAAACTTTTGATACCAAGATGTAATACAATTATGATTTCTATTGAGGAGGTAATAGGAGACAATTAGACTAGCATAGTCATACGCCTATAGACATAATATTTTTTTAATATTTCTGTGCATACGCCAGATAAGAACCCAATTTTATATATTTTGGCCAGGGTATGCTAGGGATGGGTATGCGACGCGTCGTCGACGACCGCGCCTACTGGCGGTGCCGCGAGCGCGCACTAAGCTAATGAGCGAGGCGACTCTGACGCGCGCACTGCGCACGCTCAACCTTATAGCTGAAGACGTTGATTTGTTTTATTGCACTCTGAGGGAATTCACTAAAATAGCACTTCTTAGCATGTTAGCTTGTTATGGTTAGCTTAGTAGGTTAGTTAAAAATCTAGTTTGTAATTAAGATATAAGAACCTCAATAGCGATTTGGGTTAGTCTGTAAGAATATTGCTGGGAATAATAAAAAAAAACAGTTTGGATGTGTTATTTCTGTAATGGTTTTGTTCCGAAAACAATTGCTAAGCCCCATTACACACTAGCGGTCAACCGCGCAGCTAGCAGCTGCGTGCGGCTGCGTCTGTCGATACGAACCGCCAAGGCGGTCAACCGCTAGTGCGTAAGGGAGCTAAGGCTGCCTGTCCATTGACGCGGAAAGGGGCAGCGGAGCAGAGCGGGGCTACCAACGAGTATTGCTGAGCGGAGTAACCCGTTATGCAACGAGTCATTTGAGTGGAGGGCGGCGGTCGGACAGTCCAGTCATACGTGAAATATTACGGAAAATACTAAAATATTACTTTTTTACGTTTTCGATAAGTCTTTCATCCATTTTTCAAAACTCTTCGTACGTACTGGTCAAACTTCAGCGGTACCTATAGGTACTATACTATCCCAATATCCAATACCCCCGCCCCGCTCCCGAGACCGCTTCCCCGCCGCTGGCTCTGGTTTCGCCCCGCTTCCGAAAATGTATGAATTTTTAAACTAGCTCGCAATTCCCTTTCCACTAAAGCGGAGCGGAGATTTCATGTAATCCGCTGCCCCTCTCCGCGTCAATGGACAGGCAGCCTAAGGAATGGGTTAAGTGATCATTAATTTAATGACTCTGAGTACGGCGGTAAGAATAAAAATTAAATGACAAATTACCTTCTACAACATAACTCCTTCCTTTGAAGATAGTTCTAATGGGTGTGCACCTCCAAACTAGTAGCAGTAGGGTAATGATGGCTGCCGTGATTATTAATAATATTGGTACGAATAACTGCACCCAGTTTTCTTCAATCCTATGAGAAAGTAACGATATTAAGTTGGAAAACCATCATTATTTTCTTTTAACACTTTTTTGTATCAACGCAACTTGCTTTGTTTTCCACTCTCCCTGCCACAAAATATGACTGCCTATTATTTCTATCAAATAGTTAAGCGTAGATGCAATAATTTCCCTTTCATCATCAGCCAGAAGCCTCATTCATTAGGGTCTGCGAAGAAGAGGAACTTTTGTCCGCATGGCTACTGTGATGCTGTTCACAGATTTCTCTACTTTTTAAATAAAGATTCATTATAAACTTCATGAAATAACTTAAGAAAAGGATTAATTATAACTTGAATATCAATCTCGTGAAGCAGTTGAGTCGACTCAGTCAAACAAGTCTCTTGTCTGCACAATATTATGTCAAAGCACTAGATATCTCTATTAGGTACCTAACAAACTTAAAGTCATTATAGAAATTTACTTGGGTAGGCACTTACCATGTTTTTTTTAATTCTTCCCCTTTTGTTTCGTTAAAGTATGAACTGGCAGTGATGGTAGAAGTTGTAGAAGTTGTAGTGGGTACTGGATAACGTGTGGGAGTAGACATTGTTGTAGTAGTTGTAGTTGGTGTCGGATAAGGTGTTACAGTAGATGTGGTAGTGGTCGTTGTAGTACGCCTTGTAGTAGACGTTGTAGTTTTTTCATGACGTGGAAATATAGGAGGATCATAATCGTAATAGTAATCGTCAAACGAAATTTGGGATTGTGATGTTAGTCCCAGTTCACAATTGTTAGGGGCAACACAGCGTCCTGCACATCCAGTACATGTTGGTACGCAAATTGTTGCATTCGGATTGGAACTGTACAAAAAAGTATAATTAGTATCCATATGATATCCACTGTGGCAAGCACACACGTTTGGAGCGACACATGTACCGTTGCCACACGGGTGAGAGCACTGAGCAACACATCGACCATTTTTCCAAACCCATCCGTCAAAACAAATCGGTTCACAGCCACCTTTTGACTTTTTGTACGAAGGCAAACAGCCACAGGTATCTGGGGCCACACAAACTTCGTTTCCGCAAGGTTTTGAACAGATTGGTACGCAATGTTTGTATGGATAGTGTGTGGTCTCTTTTAAGTCCCATCCAGAATGGCATTGACAGGTCTCGGGAGCCACACAGGCTCCAGTGTCGCAGCCGTGTGAACAGTAAGGTTGGCATATATTATTTTCTGATTTTCTGTAGCCAACGAGGCACTCACACTTCTCTGGAGCAACGCAGGTACCATTGTGACAAGGATCAGTGCAAACTGGCTGACATGTGCCGTTTACGAGGGTGTATCCGAAGTTACATCGACATGTTTCAGGGGCGACGCAAGTTCCATTCTGGCAACCTTTCTTACAAGATGGAAGGCAATTGTGATCGTCTTCAGGATCTCGGGTATATCCACTATTACATTCGCATTCTCCTGGAGTTTTGCAACGTCCATTTCTGCAAGCTGGCATACATATTGGCTCACATACAATGTCACTGAAAAATATTAAACAAAAAATTAATTACGACACTAATCGTGTATTTATTTTTCCAATACCTTAAACTTCTTGTCTGTGTCCTTACCTATCATTAACAGAGTCATCTTTCCTGATGTAGCCAGTGCAACAAAAGTTTGTGGGCTTCAGTTCTCTTTGCTGAAAGTAAGTATAATAAATAACAAAAATTAGTAAATAAAAACTTAAAAATAATTATTATAAATTGACATACCATTATACTCTTGGGTTCGATAGAATTGACCCACTTGGTTAAAATGCAACCGTGAGAGCAGCGTCCGTGGTAGGTGATTCGGTACGAAGTCTTGTATGTAACATGCACCATCCTCGTCACACTGAAAACGACAATAATATTTTTTACACCACCACCCACTACACTAATTAATATATCTAAATATATTAAACTAACAAAATCCCTTCAACGGTTTGACACGCTGTAGTAACAGGCTTTTAAAGTAACTTCAAGACTATTCCTAATCACTGACATACCTAAACAATCGATATAGGTAACGATACGAATTTATTCAGACACTCCTGACCAAAGCCAAGCCTATCAGAGAGGGGAGTTTATCCAAAATACCCACTATATCTTCATCATCATCTTCAATGAGCCATAAGACGGCTAAACATAAGCCTCTTCAGGGACTTACTGATCGGCACCATAGAAACAATCTGAATCCATTGGCTTTTTACGATCTTAATCAGGTCGTCTGTCCAGCTTTGTGGGTGGACGTCCTGCAGTCCCCAATTAGAACAAGCTTTAATGCAGCCTAGCACTTGTGATCGTGGAAAATTGTATATTTAACGTGTATAAGTACCTACTGCATAGCATAAGTATAAAATTGGTGAAAGATTGTTTTCAAAATTGGTATCAAAATTGAGTTTCGCAAGATTCCATGTCAAACACATACTTATTATAGTGCAAGTTAAACAAAAGCTTTTAAAAAATGCTGCTGCCCATCCGTCAGTTTCTGGTCATGCTAGTATTAAGACACAGGTGCTCGTGTCTAAAGAGATTAATCATAATCATAATTTAATTATGTATTATGTATAAATTTAAGTAAAGAGTTGAAGTAGGTACTTACAGTTGAACACGCTGGCAGATTTGTGCATCCAATTCAGCCACAAAATAAGCAACAGCACACAAAAATATAACAGGATTATACTTAACACGCATTTTCATATTTTAGACGATTAGGAACAACTAGCAAATGGCAAATGGTTATTTATAAATGTACATAATTAGATATCTACTTATAATCGCGAACATTTGTGATGTGGGATGTAGGTACACTATGTACAGTCCAACTTCAATGTATGTACTATTTAGTGGTAGGGTGACAAAGCTTTTATCAGTGAACATTTTCCCTTAAAGACATCGATTTAGTACCTTGCTTGGTTGTTTTTTTATACTTGATAGGTTGATCCCTGGTCACCATCTCGCCTAGTAAATCATAAGTTCAATTAAATCTACATAAGTTACTTTTTAATCCGATATTCCTTTCAAGTTCGCACAAGCCATACCTACCTACATGAGAGACACCTAAAAGCTAGTTTAAAAGAAAGTTCCGGGATAAAATCCACAATATGGTCACATACTTACTCGGAAAAAACCAAATGCGTCATATAGACTACCTATATTATATTATATACATATGTATTAGTAAAATGGTATATGGTGCATTGATGACTACACATACACATCCGTTCGAGGACGAACATGAGTTGCGGATATAATAAATGATAACATAATAAAATATCACATATGAGCACCAACAAGCTTATAAACATTTTTTAAGTTGATGATTGGACAAAAAAAAATCCTACAAAGGAGTTAAGTACTGACCACGAAGTGGAAGACCTAAAATCGGCAAAACGCCAAAATAGTTGCAAGTTGAGACAACTTTAGGAATATGACATATGTGTAGACTGAGAGTGCTAGTCTGAAATCTACAAAAAACAAGTACCTACCTACCAATGTGACTTTTTTCGAGTCACATGTACTTTTTAAGATTATTTAGACACCACTGACAAACGGTGAAAGAAAACATCGTGAGGAAACCTGGGCATATACCTAATTTCTGTCGTGGAGAACCTAACAGGTTACCGGGGCTCCAGCTCGACGTGCATGAGAAGGAACGGGGTGGTTTTTAGTCAGTAAGAGTCTGACACTCACTCCCTCCTCACCCAGGCGGGAGCAGTCATTCGATGATTTTTTTTTATCGAATTAAAAGTTTGAAATCGCCTACCCGTATTGAGCAGGCGTGGAGAATAGTGCTCTAACCTTCACCGTGCGAGAAGAGGCCTTTGGTCAGCAGTGGCCACTTATAATCTGTTGATGTGATGTGATGTGAGATGTAAGCTGTTGTCATTCAGAGCTCAAGTGCGATTCGTTTTGGTAAAACGGTCTTAAATTTTGAAACGCTACTTAGTGAGAACAAAGTCGATGTTTCCTATTACAATGGTACTTAGAATACCAGTAAATAAAGTAAAGAATAGTACTTGCAAAAATAAAATAGCAAACTATTCATCCCGCCATTGATTGCTATGCTCATTTTAGTAGGAGTAGTAACTGTTGCTCAATTTTTACCAAGTGTCCTGTCTACTCAGTGAAAACTAACTACTACTAGTTTTACTACAAAGATGAGTAATCAATTGGAAGAATGGCTTTTTAAAATAAGTATTTAGTTATTGACAACTGATTTATGTAAAACATTCTAGCTTATAAAAAAACGAGTTGAAGCTTTTCAATACAATTACTTTAATAAATATAAAATGTATACACTAATATTAATACAAATATAAATTATCCTATTTAAAAAATTATAATATTAAATTATAAAAAATATATCCAATAAATAAAAAAAAAACACTAAACAATAATATAATTAAAATATAACTAAAAACTAAATGTACTTTTGGTTGAAACTGAATAATTATTACATCAAAATGCATGACCAAAATACTGATTGAATGGTAAATGCAGTGGCCAGGCAACTTGATGATTAAGTATTGTAGATTTGAGATCCATAGATAAATTCTACTTTAGAAAAAAAATATGATTAAAATATTGTTTCTCTTGATTTGTAAGTTTCAAATGTGTCTTCAGCCTCAGAAATAACATTAAATATTTTTCTTTTCACTGTATATTGCAGCCAAGTGGGAAACTGCTTAGTGGTTTCACACATGCTTTCAAAGAATGAATCTAATGGATGTTTGTTTGAAGTGTAACTACTATTGTTCCTATCCATATCAATCATTATTTCTCCTATATCATTTTCTACTTTCCTCTTTCGGTACATATGTTCATTTTCTAGGGATGTAGATTCCAACTTGCTAGTGTGGGATTCTGAGTTAAAATCCAATTTATCTGTGTTTGATGTGGACGGCCGGGCTTCTAAGAATGAGTCTGAAGGTGATGGTGAAGACTCCTTGTTCTCATCACTGGATATGGTTAGGTTTCGTTTTCTTTTCCTTGTTTTCATGTACGGCAATAGAAACTTCATTATATCTGCATATTTCCATTTGTTGTTCACTACTTCGTCTTGTCCATTAGCCATTGCTCGTGCTCTTTTTAAAGAATCTCTGTGACTGTCTCTCAGTTTCTTCCATTCCGCTTTTGCTGTTTTCACTGTAAAATATTAATTGAAGGGTTAACATTGATAGTTAATTAACAATTATAATGAAATGTGTACCTACTTCAATAGACATTGAAAGTTTATTATTTACTAGCTTTTACCCGCGGCTTCGCTTCGCGTCACAAAAGGATAAAAAGCCGATGTGACATATACCAATACACACAGCGCCATCTATACCAATACTTTTGTTTTCCCTAGGTAATATCAAATTTTTCAGAGATAAAAAGTACCCTATTATTTAATCCGGACTTCTAACTTGACATCTGCAAAATTTCAAATCATTCGGTTAAGTAGTTACGGCGTGAAAGCGGAACAAACAAACTCACTTTCCGATTTATAATATAAGTAAGGATTATCTTTATTAATTTAGGGTCTTTTGGTCACACAAAGATCGTGTCAGACCCATCATACTCTAAAAATATTTAACTAAACTTACATTAACTTCAATACCTACTACTAATTTTTACTATTTTGGATATTAAGGCTTGGCTTTGGATAAAGGCTGTGACAATATAACTACTGTGAACAATTCTAATACATTAATTCTAAACATATGTTTCAAAAGCTCTCTACCAGCGCTTGTCCTGATTAAAAAGTTTCCTATTATAAGGAATAATCATACAATTCAGAAGTATTTAAGATGGTTCACAAAAATTTTAATTTAAAATGTCAAACTTGAGTTTATCTCAGTGAAATTCTAAAAAACAAATGGATATTGTGTATATAGCTGGTTAGTAAGTAAACAAGTCAATAAGTATTCTGTTTACCAAACTTACCATCAGATATATCTTCACATTTCAATTGAGTTACAATTTTTTTCCAAGCTAACTCTTTCTTTCTCATGTCTCGGTAATCTCGGCAGCCAGTGTCCCACAAACAGGGCAGTTGGTGGACCATATCAATAAATTCCTCCATGGTTAAGCAAAAACAATATTCATCCACAGATATCTTATAGTTTTAATACACAATTTGTTTTCAAATATTCAACGATCTACTTTTAGTCAATAACTTAATAAGTTTTGTCTTCTTGAATAAAACACTAAACACATAGTTCAGAGACAATTTAGATATTGCGTAGATTTATTTAGTGGTCATTAGTTAATTAACTTTTTTATAAACAAGTTTTCATTTAAAATTTTATAAATAAATAGCTGTTTCGCTATTTTCGTGTGTATTGGATTTGGTTGAGCAAACAAATCTTTATTTTTGACAATGACATTGACGCTGACAGTGAAACTAAGAGTGGAAAAGTGTGACCAAGTAAATAATTTTATGACACTCATGCATATATATATCTATGCACTCATGCAACAGTCTTTGAAATTAATATAAAAAACCTTTGTGTCAATTTATTTATTTAGGTCAACTTGGCGTTTCAATAAACGTTTTAAATGTGGAGCGCAATATTCGCAGTGGATAGTAGGAATCACACGTTTTATGAAAATCTGGTCAATTCCCTAGCGGTCACCAGTGACCGCTCGGGAATTGAATCCTATTAGATTAGACTACTTTTATATGAAAAAAGGAGATGTTTCAAAGTGCACTATTGTATGGGACTCTGGCCATAACATGTACATAATAGGGAAAGTGGGAAATAAGCCACTACATGGTATAAAGCAACATTTTTAGCCGACCAATAATTGAAAACATATTATATTTTTGTGCCCAACGTCTCTTTTTTTAAGGCGGGAAAATCATCGAATGACTGCTCCCGCCTGGGTGAGGCGGGAGGGAGTGTCAGACTCTTACTGACTAAAAACCACCTCGTTCCTTCTCCTGCACGTCGAGCCGGAGCCCCGGTAACCCATTAGGTTCTCCGCGACTCCGGGTTACGTCTAAGACCTAACTCCACATATTATTTTTCCTTGGTTTGTGGTATTTTTTCTCTTTCTAGTACGTTAAATTACGTTATTATTCATCTAATGAAAGTAAAACCAATCATCAACAGTCATCAAACTAAACCTAATCGACATTTAGCGGTAGAAGCAGGAATGGCAATTTTGATATCTGATATTTAGAATATGGAAAGAGTTTAGAGCAAAACAAAAAATATTTTCGTGTCTCTTTAACTAGCCCGATCCACCAAAATAGGTCAAGGTTTATTGAGTTAGAGAACAAGTACCAAGTACATATAGCATGACAATGAATCCAAACGGATGTCCAAATTCATTATCATCTAAATTAAAGTTATAGTTATTTGATTACACGGATACACCGAACCAAGACCTAACGCAGGTATGTGTATGTGTAAGGCAATATTATTATATCTGTGCCTCCTACACTTTTATTTTGTTGGTGGTACCTAAATCATTCAATAACTTCTTTCGCCTAAATAGAGTGTCAGACTCTTACTGACTAAAAACCATCTCCAACTAATCCAAGCCGGGATCGTGGTAACTTATTGCACTCAGTCTGCAACCCCGGCCGAAATGTACGTAAATATGTTGTATAAATGCTTCGTATTAATTATGTATTGTTCAATAAGGTCAAACGCCAATTTAAACTTAAACAAAAAGGTACTTATCTACCAAAAATAACAGACTGTGTTGACTGAACAGAAGCAAAGGTTGTTTTTGAAAGGGAAATACCCGAGATATACGTAACACAGGAAGATGTAACTTGTAACATAGCTAACATACAAACATAATCTCACGCCTATCTCGTGTCTCGCATGGGATAGGCAGAGGCTATGGAACGTCAATATATAGTACAGCTAACTTATTAGATATATTTAATATACCCATAAATTACATTACACATTCAATATTTATTTTTAGAAAGTGCTACTAAAGATATCAACTGCAACCTAAATAATAAACAAGTTCCATGTCAATTATTGAATTTTTCACGTAGTTACTCTATACAGAGCAGGTCTACCGCCATCACCAGGCCTAATTTTAGTTTCCACGATGATACGAAAAAGAAAAAGCACCCTATCTCAGCATTGGCCCGGCAGGCTTACGCTTAGGTACTTCAATGATTTGACCTTAAAATCCTCACTCCACTGGTTGAATGATCGTTTCCAGAACTTTCCTCCGCTATAATGAAATAAAATATTATCACTCATCCTGTGTTTTGGTAAAGCGGATTCTGTTGATTATAGACTATTTCGTAATAGTAGTAACAAACTATAATTATCGCGAGTAGGATTATTCTTCGATGCAAAAAAATATAAGTAACTTGGTGGGTAACCTATCTATTAGTTTTGACATGCACCAGTCATGTTCAGCTAAATTACTATTACGTTATTTACTTCTAGGTACCTAAGTGGAACATTACGTATTTTGACCGTGTGAACACAAAATCAGTAGTTACATAAATACTTTTTTGGAGTTACAATACAAGTGCGTTGCGGACTTTTTAGGGATTTGAGATTTAAAAGAAATTGGCAGAAATAGAAGGCTTTATTCACCCGGATTGAGTGTTTTTTTATGACTGGGGAACCTTTAAAAGGCGCCTAGCTTTTTCGCGAGAAAGATGAGAGAGTGTGGGATTCTTAGTTCAATAAAACCATCCCGGTGGCCACCATCTTCTCCTTTAGGGGGCACCGGGTCCTTTAATAGACTTGCTCCGGAGACCCATGGAGCAACGGCACATCTCCCTTGACCCTCGGGAGAATTTAGCTTATGGCAATATAGACACACCAATGTAGAATCTGTGTTTTAACTCGTCGAGTACCGGTTTTATAGACACAATTAAAGAACAATAGGTCGCGGTCACCGGTGACCGCTTGGTGTTTGACAGTTTAAACCTATTAATGTTTATCATGTAGCTATAATTTGACAATTTGGTACCTGCTACGTGATAATTTGGTAAAGAGGACCATAAAGACTTATAGAAATGATGAAACACAATGCAAGGGTGGTGGTGGTGGGAAGGTGAAATAACCTTCCTTGATTTTCATCAATATTCACGTAAATACATAGTATAATATTGTATGACTATTATAATTTATGAAAAGCGATAGGCCAGAAGATGTTTTTGATATAAGTGTCATAGCAGGATTTTATTAGTTATTTACAGTTACCCTGTTTAATTTTCCTAAAAACATACTCTCTGAAAAAGGTTGTTACTATTAATATTGTAACAGATTTATGGCAGGAAGGGCAGTGATAGCAAATGAAGCTCAGAAAAACGACACTATCTATCAGTTGTTTCTCGTATGTAAAACGACGACGATGGCGAATCTGCCCGCACTGTGGTTTATTGTGTTTTTACAAATATTTAATACTGCTCGTGGTGACAGTAAAAAGTACTGCACCAAAACTGTTTTGTAAGTACCTAACTATGTATTAATTACTAGCTGTTCTGTCAGCGACTTCATCCGCATAAAATAATGACGTCAGGCAGAATTTGGTTTTATGAATTATTATTTTCCAAGACATGTTCTATGGCTGTAACCTATGTCATCAGAATCGATTCAGTACCTAAGCTATATTTATTGTGAAAGGATGCGTGTTTTACCCGCACGGTGCCCGTTCCCGTGAAGTTTCAGTAATAAAACAATTCTAAAGTCTTTTTCCGGGTCGCCAACCATTGTAGGTACCGAATTTCAATCCATTACAGTGGTTTAAAAGATAGACGGTATCGAAAAATCATACGCGTAGTACCCGTTTTCTTGAAATTTTCTGGATAAAAACTACCATACTTCCCTTCCCAGGTCTCTACTGTTTATACTATTGCACATGTTTAGATAAAAAAGTTATTATGGCATAATAATAGTTATAATAGTTAGACATGGTATCGTGGACGTTTATGTTGATATTAATATCCTTTATTAGATTATAGCACATTACTTTGCTCTATTGTGTATAATCATCGCATCGCAACGAAAGCATTATTTGGTAGCTTTTGGTAGTTTTTTCACATATCGGGTTATATTATCTAAATTATAACCGGGTTCTTTTTTTATTCTTCTATTAATTCAAATAATTTCTCTGCACTTCCCTACGGTTGACTGTAAGAGAAGGCCTTAAGGCATTAACTCCGCCATTCACTGTTATGTTTTGTGAAGAAGAAATAAATAAATAAATAAATAAAAATAAATACAGCCTCTGTTCATCAGAGGTAATGTAGGATTCCAATGGTAAAAGAATGTTTCAAATCGATTCAGAAGTTTCAGAGCCTAGTCAATGTAAACAAACAAACAAAAAGAACTTTATAATATTAGTTTAGAAAATAGTGACCTTTGGAACCCTTTTCTTTTCGGAAAATCATCGAATGACTTCTCCCCGCCTCGCCTGGGTGAGGCGGGAGGGAGTGTCAGACTCTTGCTGACTAAAACCCACCCCGTTCCTACTCCTGCACTTCGAGCCGGAGCCCCGGTAACCGTTTACGGTCTCTGCGGCTCCGTATCGGCATCAACTCTGTTGGGCATCATCCGTCTTCGGCTTGGACTCAGCGGTTGACCCATATTTAAATTATATTTTTTATATTCAACGTAATTTTCGAGTTTGTTAAATAAATATATGGAATAATAAATAAGTAATATGAATAATACATTCTAATAACACGAGTTAAAAAAAATCTATCTGTATACATAAACGAAATAAAATCAAAAACTAGTTCTTGAAATTGTCTTTTTTTCGCGAAATACCTACGCGCGAAATTTGAAATTATGATAAAATAATTAATTCATATTCGTACGCGTTATAACGCGATAAAAAATATTTTAAATTTTTTAGAGGTATGTATGTATATTAGGGCTATAGAATTTACATTAGATACCTACATTTCAAAAATCATGCACAAAACCCAGTTGTGGTGTACAAACGTGCTTGTTCACGTTGTATCACCTGCTTTACAAGTCGGCAGATGCATCCGCAGATACCTAACGTTTCTACATGCATCCGTTGACTCCTAGAGCAGGCTTTTAGACATTTAAACTGTCAAACACCAAGCGGTCACCGGTGACCGCGACCTATTGTTCTTTAATTGTGTCTATAAAACCGGTACTCGACGAGTTAAGACGATAACAGTTCAAAAAATAGGTAAACCGTGTTGCGATCCCTGCAGTAGATACTTTTCTAAAGACTTAACTAATTTGAATTAACTTGTAATTAATTTGCGTAGGTTCGTAATTGCGACTGTCAAACAAAGAATCTGTATTTATTGAAACAATCTCAGTAGTTAGTTTGGTTTGTTTTTATAATAACTATTGTGAGACATTCTAAATTAACTAAAAATCGCGGGTTACTCACTGTTAATATACTGAGTAAAGCTCTACTAGTTTCGAACTACAGAGGGTTTCTTCCTCGCGGCGATGTCGCGCAGCCAACTGGCTAGCATTGGCGCTTGCATCCCTGTTGTTACTTGCGCTGCGAGGACAACACGATGCGATGTTGTTGAATGTACTGTGACGTTCACCAGTGGCGTGAGTAGTGGGTTTGATTCCGGGTTCGGCATAAAGTCAGTGTTACATATAACGCATACTGTGTCACACTCCAGACTGGAGACGCTGTGGAGGGACGTAGACTCCAAGTTAGGCTTCCACGCGGGTGGCAGTGCCCAGCCACCATCCCTGTTGAAGCATGGACGTCGGCTAATCTCGATGGGAACGAAGACCTTATTAAACCATGAGCCGCATCCGTACCGCAAACATGTTCAGCTGCTGCCAATGACTCACACACACTCATGAGGAAGAACCCCTCTATGGTTCGGAACTACTAGAGCTTTTCTCAGTATATGCACGTGACGTGACTAACCCGCGATTTTTAATAAGTTCGTTTGGTTATTTAATATTGGTAAAATTTGTGTTTAACATTTCATATTTCCACTTACCGACCATAAACTGTTACGTTTTCTATTAAATAAGTTATTTTTCATTTTCAGGGATTATAATTACAAATATGTGACTTACTGGGAGACGTATGGCAATTGGGAGAAAGATCCCAACTGTTGGTTTTGGTGCAATAAAATATATGTAATACACAGTTACAGAACTGGAGAGAGAAGAAGAGTAAGTATCTTTATAGTGCACTGTAAAACAGACTCAGTTCCAAAACAGACAAAATGAAAGCTTTCTTTTTTTATACCATGACGGTAGTAAAAAGTACAAAGTACAATGCCCACCTGGCGGTAAGTGGTTACCGTGACCTATGTACGCTTGCAACACGTGGGGCATTACGTGCGCCTTGCCGACCCTTTATGAACCTATTTACTTCTTTCTTGAAGAACCCCTTATTGTAGCGTATCGGGAAAATCTTGGCAGGGAGAGCTTATGAGAAAGCTTTGATTTTGTCGGAACCGAGTCGGAAACGTTTACTCATATATAACTACGCTTAAACAAAAGTAAATGAGTCGGCTTAGCCGGAGTAAACTTAATCACGATGCCATATATTCCATCAAAGGACCAATCCCTCCCCATCCCCAAGTCTCAAATTCTCAAAATCTGAATTATAATAATACTAGCTTTTGCCCGCGACTTCGTTCGCGTGGAATAGTGTATTTCGACAGATTTTTGGTTTTACCAACATAGTTCCCGAATTCGCGGGATCTCTTCAAAAATGAAATGTGGAAGATATTCTAGGGAACTCTTCAAAAATCAACATAATGAGCTCTGCGTTTGTTAAATAAAATAATTAAAAAAAAGAATTACGAACGTGGATAACAATTTTAAAGAAATTATATTACAACCTATTCCCAAAACTAAATAATTAAAAAGGAACGATCTAATTAATTTAAAAATTAAAATGAATTTAGACATACAATTCTAGTATCTAATAATAATCGAGATCAAACTAAACATACATTATACAACAACCAGACAACCGAACAAATAAACCTTTTAATCGACATAATTATACAACGGACGGAACCACCTTGCTGACAATCACCACACAGCCCAACAAATAAACCTTTAAATCTACAATCACAACGGATGAACGGAACCAATTTTAGATTTATGAAACGACCAGTCCACAATGTCACGATGGCGTGTAACGAAAACATCCCAACGCCATCTATCGAGCATAGTGACATCACAGATTATTTATCTATTCTCCGTTCGGGCATTTTCTTTGTACTAAAAGTTTTATTATATTGATATTATTTTTTCATACCTTTTTACTTTTTAAAAAGTGAATATCAAACAAACAAAAATTAATGTGCGTTATGCAATGCAAGTAACATTCAACTCTCAGTTTCCTCCGACATATATAACTCTAATAAAAAATAAGGCAACTATACTTTTTGTAGGGGGTAGAGTTTTAATTACTATAAAATCTATCAATTTACATAGGCAAAGTTCAATGCAAGCAGACTAATAGAAAAAATTAGACATTATAGGCGAGAGAAAAAATACACTGTAAAACGTACTTACAAATCTTATTTTGGCGCCTTGTGCCGTCTCGCCGCGGAAGATTTTTACTCACAGAAACGAAACGTGGGCCCGTCCACAATCTGCCTGGCACAGAGGTTTGTGGGGAAAGGACTCGTTACTTATAATGAAATTTAACTCTCACAGGGCTTCTAACAATCATAGTGTAATAGAAATCAAGTCATGTATCCCACTACGGCATCTACCCAGGACTTACCCTACAAAAGTATCCTCTGGTCTTAGGAAGTTCGATCATATTTCCAAATTCATTGATAGGGCCAAGTGGTTCCGAATCCGTCTTCGCAGGGACACTCGCATTTTATGTCTTCTCTATAACATCCTCTTCAATCCGGCTGGATTCGGAGAACTTCTTCTTCTTCTTTGAGACCGTTTCTCCTTAGTTCGTCCTCCTGAAGTCCTTATTCATTCACGTCTTAAATCCTATATTTAAATTGTGCTCCATAATACTGATTTCTACTCTTACTATGAAACTCGCTCCCGCCGAACATTCGGGACGCTATGTTAATCTCTATCTTTAAGAGACAAGTGAGAGATAAACATTACCTTTCCACTTGATATACAGTTTTGTTTATTTATATATATTTATTGTATTGATTTATTAATATTATTATTTATTTTTTTCATACAAGTTTTATTTTACTTTTTAAGATATTTTTAGTTTATTTCTTTAACAATTTTTTGGAGGCCCAATTACCCTCCCCTTCCCCAATCTCCCAAATCCCTGAATCCCCAAAAAGCCGGTAACGCACTTGTAACGCCTCTGGTGTTCCAGGTGTCCATGGGCGACGCCAATTGCTTACCATCAGGTGATCTGTTTGATCGTTTACCGGCCTATGCCATAAAAAAACACACTGTGTCTGTGTCGTATTATTTTTCCTGCCACATGCACGCAGGAAGAAATTCCAATTACAATATGTGGGACTTATGCACTTCGTTTTTTATGTATGTGTCGTCATTTGCGTGGTGTGTGTACATAAATAAGAAATAATCATAATGAAGCATCATTCATCATAAAAAAAGTATTCTGTTAAATTTTTCCATCGGTATGGAAGTGATCTATAATGTCATATTATCATCCTCGATATTACTCTCATTTTAGGAATTTCAAGTAATCAACAAGTAACAACCATGCGGCACAATCTTATTTAAAACAGCTTAGTGCCATGGTTCCACAGGATACTAAATAAATCTGGAGTTCTTTAAAAAGAGTGTTATTAACTCATCGTTAGATGGAAAGAATTACAGATCCACAGCTCCATTACAGATGGAATAAAGTTTTACTCGACTAAAATCTACAATCGCAAAACATACATCTCTTACTCCAACATACAGTACAATGCTTTTTAATTTCAGGTAAGTTACACCCGTATGGTTCAAGATTGTTGTCCTGGATACAAAAGATTGAGAATAATTTCAAATACGTAAGCAAACTTATAGTGAAACTTTTTATTATTACTGTAATAGATATGCAGTTTACGTACGATTTGACATTGTGGGTACAATTTATTTATTATTATTACCATTTATTTCAATCAATTACATAGATCATTAATATCAATTACACATAACAAAACACAAAACAATATAAAAGTCAAACATTACTGACATAATCCATCCTCTCAACTCAAAACAATAATTTCACATCTACTGACAGTCAAACCGTCAATCAGTTATAGCCTGACCTGATGGTAAGCAATTGACGTTGCTCATGGATAACACTAAAGTAATTACAAGTCGGTACCGATCTTTTTGCTGGGTATTGACAATTAGAGATGGAGGACAAATCCGGGAGAGATGGGCCTCCAGTAATCTCACTAATAGGGGTTATTATTACCTAATGTGATATTTTCCAGACTCGATTGTGAGCCGGTGTGTTCAAGATCATGCATTAATGGGCTGTGTGTTTCACCAGAAACTTGTCAGTGTACAAAAGGATATGTAAAATCAGATCCGTATACCTGCAAACCATTCTGCTCCAGCGGGTGCCCACACGGCACCTGTATTGGCCCTGAGATTTGTAAATGTGATGTCGGATGGCAAGTGGCTGAAGTAAAAGGATCATCAAATAAAACATGTACACCGATTTGCTCTAAGCCTTGTGTAAACGGAACATGTGCAGCACCAGAAACGTGTCACTGTGCAAAAGGATATACAAAATCAGATCCGTATACCTGCAAACCATTCTGCTCCAGTGGGTGCCCGCACAGCACCTGTATCGGCCCTGAGATTTGTAAATGTGATGTCGGATGGCAAGTGGCTGAAGTAAAAGGATCATCAAACAAAACATGTACACCGATTTGCTCTAAGCCTTGTGTAAACGGAACATGTGCAGCACCAGAAACGTGTCACTGTGCAAAAGGATATACAAAATCAGATCCGTATACCTGCAAACCATTCTGCTCCAGTGGGTGCCCACACGGCACCTGTATCGGCCCTGAGATTTGTAAATGTGATGTCGGATGGCAAGTGGCTGAAGTAAAAGGATCATCAAATAAAACATGTACACCGATTTGCTCTAAGCCTTGTGTAAACGGAACATGTGCAGCACCAGAAACGTGTCACTGTGCAAAAGGATATACAAAATCAGATCCGTATACCTGCAAACCATTCTGCTCCAGTGGGTGCCCACACGGCACCTGTATCGGCCCTGAGACTTGTAAATGTGATGTCGGATGGCAAGTGGCTGAAGTAAAAGGATCATCAAATAAAATATGTACACCGATTTGCTCTAAGCCTTGTGTAAACGGAACATGTGCAGCACCAGAAACGTGTCACTGTGCAAAAGGATATACAAAATCAGATCCGTATACCTGCAAACCATTCTGCTCCAGTGGGTGCCCACACGGCACCTGTATCGGCCCTGAGACTTGTAAATGTGATGTCGGATGGCAAGTGGCTGAAGTAAAAGGATCATCAAATAAAACATGTACACCGATTTGCTCTAAGCCTTGTGTAAACGGAACATGTGCAGCACCAGAAACGTGTCACTGTGCAAAAGGATATACAAAATCAGATCCGTATACCTGCAAACCATTCTGCTCCAGTGGGTGCCCACACGGCACCTGTGTCGGCCCTGAGATTTGTAAATGTGATGTCGGATGGCAAGTGGCTGAAGTAACAGGATCATCAAATAAAACATGTACACCGATTTGCTCTAAGCCTTGTGTAAACGGAACGTGTGCAGCACCAGAAACGTGTCACTGTGCAAAAGGATATACAAAATCAGATCCGTATACCTGCAAACCATTCTGCTCCAGTGGGTGCCCACACGGCACCTGTGTCGGCCCTGAGATTTGTAAATGTGATGTCGGATGGCAAGTGGCTGAAGTAAAAGGATCATCAAATAAAACATGTACACCGATTTGCTCTAAGCCTTGTGTAAACGGAACATGTGCAGCACCAGAAACGTGTCACTGTGCAAAAGGATATACAAAATCAGATCCGTATACCTGCAAACCATTCTGCTCCAGTGGGTGCCCACACGGCACCTGTATCGGCCCTGAGATTTGTAAATGTCATGTCGGATGGGAAGTGGCTGAAGTTAAAGGATCATCAAATAAAACATGTTCACCGATTTGCTCTAAGCCCTGCGTAAATGGAATGTGTGTAGCACCTGAGACCTGTAAATGCATAAATGGATATACTAAATCTGGAAATTACAGCTGCGAGCCGGTTTGCTCCAACGGATGTCTACATGGAATCTGTGTAGCGCCTGAAACTTGTAATTGTCGTCCAGGGTGGCATATATCGAATGACAATAAAACTTGTCTCCCAGTTTGTTCCAAGCCTTGTGTAAACGGAACATGTGTTGCGCCAAATACTTGCAAATGCCTGCTGGGTTATAGAGTTTCCGGTAAATTCACGTGTAAGCCCCACTGTAGCGATGGGTGTCCAAATGGAACATGTATAGGTCCTGAAAAGTGTGACTGTAAAGCAGGATGGCAATTGACTAGATTAAATAACACAAAGATTAGTTCATGTCAACCGAAATGTACCAAACCTTGTATAAATGGCACGTGTGTTGCCCCAGAGACTTGTAAATGTCTTGCTGGTTACGTGAAGTCTGCCGAGAATGTATGTATGCCTCATTGCCATGATGGATGTCCTCACGGTGTGTGTATCAGTCCAGAGACGTGCGTCTGTAATCCTGGCTGGAAGATGACACAGACCAACACCTCACTGAATAGAACTTGTCAGCCGGAGTGCAGTCCACCTTGTGTCAATGGTTCTTGTACAGCTCCCGGAAGGTGCGATTGTTATTTTGGACATGAGATATCGGAAAAGAAAAATGTCTGTCGACCACGCTGCTCCAATGGGTGCAAGAACGGTGTATGTGCCAGCCCTGACAATTGTATCTGCAACGCTGGATGGGAAACGAGTAATGGGACGTGTCAGCCGGTGTGTACTACGCCGTGCGTGCACGGCGCGTGCGTCGGTCCTGACACCTGCGAGTGTCTCGCTGGGTATGAAGTAGGAGACAACAATACTTGTGTGCCACGCTGTGCTGCCGGCTGTTCTCACGGAGTATGTGTGAGTTCTGACAACTGTATTTGTGACCCGGGATGGCGCAGAAGTAATAACAATGCAACATGTGAACGGGACCAAAATCCACAGACAAAGTAAGTCAACATCAATGTATTTTGTTAATAAAATCTTCATTCGATTAGATTAAACTGTCAAACACCGCGAGGACACCGGTGACCGCAACCTATTGTTCTTTAATTGTGTCTATAATGACGGTACTCAAAGGGTTAAAGGCCAACATAAAGACTTTTACTTATTTCTCTACTAACTATTTCGTTCAAAATTATTACACAAATAATTTTATGAAATACAGTGATTGAATGATTGATAAATAACAAACTACTAGATAAGCAATATGAGAGAAAAAAAAATCACAAAATATTTTAAAAGTTACATAAAGCAATTTTAATGCACACGGTTTAACGTCTTACCGTTCATTAATATTATTTATGACATTTCCAGGTTAGCATCGAACGGAGTGTCGACCACTGTCATCGCATCGAGCAGCATCGGTATTATAGTGATGATTGCTGTGGTGTCTAGAACTATTACAGTAATCCGCCGAAGTTGCCAGCGGAAGAAAAACTTCAAAGGGGATGGTGAATACAAAAAAATATATTTGTGTATTATAATTTTTATCAGTGTGCGCAGGCCAAGAAGGCGATATTTGTTTAAGATATTCGTTTCCCCATATATATGTCTAGGTCTCCATGCATGAGACTATATGTCTGAGACTAAAAATTGAGCAAAAAAATTTCTGCTACAGAAACATTGTAGTAGATTATGTATTATGTAATATTATGTTCAAATCTTTAGTAACAAAAATAATTCTATGAAGCAGTTGAGCCGACTCAACTACAACTTTGATGTTATGTGATATTGATCACTTATTGTCCTTGATGGATAAAATTGTTTCGACGGGTTCTCATAATTAGAATGATATTGTGTATAAAAAAGCTAAACTTCTCGGTACATTTCTTGGCAGTCTAGGTAGGATTCGTCCGCGTAGAAAACTACCTACTACGGTCATGTCGGCTAGGACCTTCAGCCGAAAATATATCCAAAGTTTATGTTATAATTGTTATTATATTTAACGTTTCTTTTGCAGGTGCTGTTGTAGTAATTCCGGTGCAAGAAATTACTCCCAAAATATTTAATAAATCTAAACACAGTTTCAACGTAAACTAATCAGTTCGTAAATTAATATAAGCCAGCATTGATTCTAAATAAAACTTATTTGTATTTTTTATTGTTTCATATTTATTGATCAACTTGATCAAATTAAAGTGGCGATACAATGTTGCACTGAGGTATGTATGTACATACATCAATCTTCAAAATCACACTAGCTAGTTGAATTGTCACCATGCTAGGCTGATTATTATTAGCGTTCCCAAAGACATGAAGAATTCCGATAAATTGTCAGAAATGACGAGTTCGCCAAAAAAGATTTCAATATAATTGTATACTGATCATCATAATAAAGTACTTTAAAATAATCTCTCCCTGTCAAAAATCTGTGACTAAAAAGTGACCAAGTAAGTAGTTGTGAAAATTTATAAGGCACAGGAATGCTACGTACAATATCTACCTATCATAATGTGATGAGAATTTGATGTTTGTAAACCCGCAATACAAAAGAACATCTTAATCCTCCTTTCAATTTCCCGTCACGTATCTCTATCAGAAGTCCTCCTGCTGCAGTACCAACTTCTTATTTTATTTGGTCGGACCACCACAAGGGTGACTCCCCGCGCGGCCAAGAGAGAAAACCAGCTCCTCTATCTATGCAAGGTTGTACCTCCGTGGATAGACACGGTTTAAAGGTCCCTTTAACTCGTCGAGTACCGTATTTATAGACACAATTAAAGAACAATAGGTTGCGGTCACCGGTGACCGCTTGGAGTTTGACAGTTTAATAGTGGTAAACAGACGTTGCTTCGTGCCGGTTTCTAAAGGACTCAGGGAAAAGACCTGACTTATGTCGCAGGGAGCTGCTAGACGCAGGTTGTTGCCAACAGGCCCATCTGGATGTCATTGGGGAGGCCTATGTTCAGCAGTGGATATTTTGATACAATATTGATGATGAATGCAAAGTTCTTGGAAAATCGAGATATTCGTTCGGAACTCTGTCCACGTACCAACCAACCATTTTCTCCAGCGTAGGATATCTCTAGGACTTCTACATACTTCTTCTGCACATCACGCCGTGTTTACGTCCCAGCAGCGTACGTGGGAATGACAAGGGTGTGTACGGCGTACCTACAACCTGATATTGGCAGTCCTTGTTCGGTTGCGATTCCTCAGCTATTCTATTTAATCTAGTATGATTAACTATAGATTACCTTACAGGACCGGTACGGTCTACCATTTACCTACTTGCCGACTAGCAGTTACAGACTCAAAATAATTATTACTACTACTACTATAAAGTTGCATTTTTCATAGCCGTTACACAATTATAAAACTTGTAGCTATCCTCGTTTTGTTTGTATTTAGGTACAATGTTTTACTTTACACTAGCTTCTGCCAGCAGCGTTGCCTGGGGGTAAAAAGTCACCCCCAGACCGTGATCTACCTGTGTTCCGAATTTCATGCCACTTCCATCAGCCGTTACAATGTGACTGAGTAACAAACGTAGGTACACATAAATTCACAAAATTTCGCTTTTAGTAGCGCAAATTTTAATAGGGATTTAATCTAATTTCGGCCGTCGGTCCTACAGTTACAGCGTAAGGTCCACTAGCGGGCATCCTAACATTCTACAAACTTATTTACTCATTAACTCTTTAATACACACAGAAATGAGGTGCATTGCGCAGACTTGATGCTGTATGGCATTTTCTCAATTATGTCAGATATTCCAAATTATTGAAAAGAATTATATCTCTAAAAAAGTGTGCCCAAAATAATTACAAAATTAAAACATCGGATAACAAATCAAAAACAACATGGCAAATTATCAATAAAACACGGCCGAATTTACCAAGGGAAACCATAGAAAAAAAATTAAAATCCAAAATAAAAGTCTCACAAATGCTAACGAAATAGCCGGCACATTTAATAATTATTTCGTTGACAAAGTTAAACCAATCCCGGGTGCCGGTAAAAAAGCAACATCCCTAATTAAACCTAGACTTAACTCAATGTATTTAGTTCCTTGTACACCTATTCACGTATTTAAAATAATAACTGGCCTAAAAACACAAAAAGTGTTGGTTATGATGGAATCTCAACGAAAATAGTTAAGGATGTAAATGGTTATATATGTCATCATTTAAGTTATTTTATTAAACTATCTATTGCAAATGTCATATTTCCAACAGATCTTAAAATGGCAATTATTAATCCGTTATTGAAAAAAAAATGGCAAGGAATTAGTCGAAAACTACTGACCCATAGCCTTTCTTTCTGTGTTTTCAAAAATCTTTGAGACTTATTACAATCTAGAACTAAACAATTATTTGGAAAGTAACAATATCTTATGCAACGAACAAAAGGGCTTCCGAAAACATAAAAATATAAATATGGCTGTCTTTGAGTTTTTAAAAAATATTATGTCCGTAATTGATAAAACCACCCCTGTATGCTCGACCTTTTGTGACATGACACAAGCCTTCGATTATGTTGATCATGCAATATTAGCTAGTAAACTGGAGGCATATGGCATAAGAGGAAATGTCTTAGAACTATTTAAATCTTATCTGTCTGGTCGTAAACAAATTACACAAATAACAAAACTTAACTTAAAAACCAAAAAAGAAGAACAGTATCAATCCCAAGTGAGACATGTTACATACGGTGTTCCCCAAGGTAGCATACTGGGACCCACGCTATTTATTACTTACATTAACGATCTTCCTCGTGCAACTGTGCAACCTATGATATTATTTACAGACGACAGCACAATTAATATTATATGTAAAGATAAACAGTTATTTCAAATCGACATAATTGAGTCCCTAAATTCAATAATAACATGGCTTGACAATAATAATTTAATAATTAATATGAATAAAACGAATGCAATGAATTACAGACAAAGACCTCAAAATTCAATTCAATTTAAAGTAATATATAAAAATAATGTAATTAAAGAAGTAGAAACAGCCAAATTTCTTGGTTTAAAAATTGACAATAGACTCAATTGGAAATGTCATACTGAAGACCTTTGTATAAAAATAAGTAGCTTATCTTATGCGATGTATAAACTGTCATAAACAGTGAGCAGAGACGCGTTATTGACGGCATATTATGGGCTGATAGAATCGGTGCTCAGATACGGTTTAATATTTTGGGGAAACTCGACCAACACGGATATGGTATTTAAAATGCAAAAACGCTGTATCCGGGCCATGTTCAGGATTAAAACAACTGACAGCTGTCAACCACTGTTTAAGGAGTACCATATATTGACACTTCCGTTACTATACATCTTAGAAATAGCTTTATTTGTAAGAAATAACCCTCTCTGGTTTCCTCTCTTAGCAGATAATATTGAAATAATATAGATAATATAGATCTTTATATTACTCCACAACATAATTACAAGATACGAATTCAAACTTTATTGTGAGAAAACACATCTCTATACAATACATATACCTAAACTACTTATTAATATTTCATTCCAGTGATTTCGGAATATTTCGCGTTTATCACAAATATCCGCTTTTAAAATAATATTATTGTCTCGCCGGGATTAATAATGTCGGTGATAAGTTTGTTTGATTAAACTTTAAAATAGCTTCGAGAGCGTCATTAGTGTCAGAGAAGTGGAAGCAGAATGGAGACTCACAACTTGCTTCTATTTTTAATTGTTTTATTACAACTGTTAAGTGAATGTCACTGTGGCACAAATGTCTGTAAAAAAATGATAACGTAAGTGAAAAGTATTTTGTTTATTATTAAAAATTATGATTCAGTCTTTTTATTTTCAAACTAAAGAAAGGTAGGCACTTATATCGTTTTTAATAATATATTTTTATGTTAATTTTCCTTGAAGATGCACTAGGTATAACATCGTGTTTCTTTCTCTTTTTTTAGCACTCTTTCTAACTCTATCTGAACCTGATCTCTAACCGAATGTTTAATTACGCGTCACTGATTAGTGATTAGCCACTAATTCTTTATTTTTCGGTTTCCATATATATATTGTAATGCTTTGATTTTGATGACAGATGTTTCGGATACACAGTTATACAAAAATAAACAATAATAATAACTTTTTGGACGATATTTTTAAGACAACAACGTTAGATTAGATAAGATTCATATAGGTATTGGAGATTTTTTCATTTATTTGCCTGAAATATGGTGTTTTACACAGATTTTATTACATAACAATAGTTAATTATTATGTTTTCGGCTTCTGTCTCACGAAAGTTTCAATATAACAATAATTTACATATCCCGCCTATAAATTCAGCATGTAAATATTTTTACAATAAGTACCCAATTATATTATTTAAAACTAAAGCGAAATAACAAAACAACAAAATCTGATAATGATTCAGATTGCAAACAGAACAATTAAATTATAATTTCCAATAATAAACTACTCTATCGGAGAATCAGTACAAAACTCTTTTTAATATCTATAGGTTAAACAATATGAAGCGAGCTGTAGGTAAAACCCCGCGGGAGTAGTTTGTGATAAATTAAACAACGACGTTTAGTAATTTGGATAAACTGATAACAAGGTGTCGTGGAAACCCACGACACCTTGTTATCAAAGGGTAAATTATAAAACAGCCTTCTTCAGTTGGAATTGGTTTACAGTTTTAAACTTTGAACTGTTTGTTTTAAATTGTTTCTCGAAATTATCATACAACACACATGTAATAGGGTATTCTCATGTATCAACAATAAATGATAACGTTATGTTATTTGTATAGTTTAAAACGTGAGGAATTAAAAAAAAGTTGTTGTTCCATAAAAACACAGGATTAATTTTAAATTTCAAATTTAAAATCAAAGTTTTATTATGTGTATTTAACGTGATCTAAAACGCCGTCCGCCATGATTTTCTCCCGAGTAACGTCGGAAGCATCAAAATATTTAAATAATAGCATTCTTCTCAAGTTTTAACTACTTTTTGTGTATACCTTTTAATAAATAATTTTTTTATGTAGAATTCTTGCAATTTAACTTAACACACCAACGATACGGGTTATTGAAACTGATCT